TTAGGGTGCAGGGAAACGATCAGGGCCAGGAGGGCAGGACAGCCGAGCAGAGGGTGCTGCTGGCACCTCTCAGAAGGGACACAAGCAGCTCCTGGGGAGCAGCTGACACGTTGGTAGAGTCCTCACCTGTGACCTACCCCTGACAAATCCCTCCTGCACCCCCAGTTTTGCCTTTCAAAGATGTCAAGGAAGCTGGCATTAGACAGGGAGCTCTTTTTGGGTCAGTGTGTCTTTTGTGTGCCTGGCACAGGTCCAAGCACTCTGCCAGCTGCAAACAGATGAGAAGCGATGCCTTTGCCTGCTTCCCACTCCTGAACAGGTGGGCACCCTCTGCTGAGGCTGGGGTCACCCAAGGGCCGCTTCCCTTCCTGCTTTAGGGAAGATTTCACTGCGAAAATACCTGGAACTCCCCACAGGAAAACAGGAAAACAATGAAAACGTGAGGGCTCCACACAGCTTCTGAGCAGATCACTGTCCATCAAAGGAAACATCGCTGAGGCAGCTACGGCCTGAGGTGAGGGATCAGATTGCATTTGCTTCTCACATTCAGGCTGTGCAGGCACGGAAGCACAGCCGCTTCAGTCCGTGCCGGGCACAACCTGGCGTGCAGAGGTGTTTGAGGACAGAGGGACACGGGAGGGATGATGAGACGCACACCTTACACTCATCTCCTGCTTCCCTGCTTCCGAGCCTGGGCTCGGGCAGTGGCGGCCAGCAGGCCGGGCTTCAGCTCGCCAGGGTGGAGTTCCTCGGCTGTGGCCACGGGAATGCGCGCAGGGGCTCGGGCAGGCCAAGAGCAGCGGCTGTCCCTCGGAGCCATCCCGGTGACATGTCGGGGACTGCCAGCATCCCGGAGAGCCGGGGCTGTCCCGTGCATAAATAACACCGAACAGCAGCTCGAATCCTCGGGCACCCGCGAGAGACGAGCGAGGAGCGATTCCCGATGAGCGATGAACCCTTCTGCAGGCAGCGGGACCCGAGCGCGCACAACGCGCCCGCCGCGCTCCGCAGCGGCACCGGCAGCGGCCAGGGATGGTGCGGGGGATGTGGGCACTGTGGGGACACCTGGGGGCACCTGTGGGGACACCTGGGGGTGCAGCTATGGGAGCACCTGTGGGCACACCTGTGTGAGCACCTGTGGGCAGCTATGAGCACACATGTGGGCTCACCTGTGAGCACACCTGTGGTAGCACCTATGGGTACCTGTGAGCACACCTGTGGTAGCACCTATGGGTACCTGCGGGCACACCTGTGGTAGCACCTATGGGTACCTGCGGGCACACCTGTGGGCACACCTGTGGGCACCCCTGCGGGGCCCCGCGGGGCCGGGAGCGGTGCCGCTGTCCCCGCGGGTGCCCGGGGAAAGCCGCTGTCCCCCCGCCCGGACACGTGCGAGCCCCGCGGGCCCGCGGCCCGCACTCACCGGCGGCGGCCTCCAGCAGCGCGGCGGTGCGGAGCAGGCGGTAGTAGCGCTCCATGTCCCCCGCCGAGGTGCCGCCCGCCGGGGGCCCGGCCGGGACCGGCACCGGCACCGGGGCTGGGGCCAGCGCCATGGCCGGGCAGCGCTCCCCGCCCGCAGCGCCCGCTCCGCGCCCCGGGCCCGCCGGGCGGGACCGCCGCTTCTGCCCGCCCCCGGCACCGCCCCGGTACCGCCCCGGTACCCACCCGGCACCGGCAAAGGCACCGCCCGACACCGCCCCGGTACCGCCCCGGTACCCACCCGGCCCCGGCAAAGGCACCGCCCGACACCGCCCCGGTACCGCCCCGGTACCCACCCGACACCGCCCCGGCACCGGCACCGACACCTCCCCGGCCCCTGGTTGAAATGATGCCGGCTCATTCTCAACAGGAGCAGGAGCTGCCCAGGAAGGCAGCATGGAGAAGCAGATGTTCCTGTTTTTCCAAAACAACCTTTCAATTATCGTCTTTACAATAATAGCAGCCTTTTCCCAACACTTCAGCAGTCAGTACTACTAATTAAAGAGCCATGGTAATATAAACCCCAGCATCTTTGGGTAGGCCCTTCTTACACTGATACAGAATTTTTCAAGGAAAACCAACCCATTCAGTCAGTGCTTCTTGTTTGTGACACAGCAGGCTCTCCCTACCAAACAGTTTGGATAGATGATTTTCTGTCTGGTCATAGAGCACTTCTTGTGTGACAGGGAGAGTTCATGTGCTCATGAAAAAAATCAGTCTGATAGGCAAGGCTCCAAGTCAAGACACACATTGCTGCTGTGTTCTTATCACAGGAATGCTGTTTGTCCTAAACTGCCACGGCTCATGGAGAAATGGGACCCATCCAAGTGCCCAAAGTCTCAGTTCTGCTCTACCACTGTGCAGGGGATGCTCTGCTGTAACTGGGACTGATCCCCACTGAGTGTCACACACCCACTTCTGACACAGGATTTGGGGAAAACGAAGCTACCCAGCAGAAGAGGCAGCTGTCACCCCCAAGGTTCTGCAATCAATGCATTTCTTGCTCTCTGAACAGAAGGCAGTCATTCAGACAGGATCTGGATCAGGTCTCTGCAGCCCAGGTGGGCTGGGCCCCGGCCCTGGGTGCTGGCAGGAATCCTGCACATCCCAAAGCTGCAGCTCCTCCAGACAGCTCAGCTCACCCGAGGCAGCCCCGGCAGCTCTCAGCGTGTAAAAGCTGTGCTCGCTCAGCCTGGAGGGTAATTGCTCACGGCTTTTCCTTGTGGCCGCTAAGATTCATGGTTTGGAACGCTGGCTTTGGGACAGTTCACCAGGAATGCCCAGCAATCCCAGCAAGGCATTCTGCAGCACCCAGCTTCCCACATTTCCCACTGCCAGGAGCTCCTTGGCACGTCCAGCCCCTCCAGAGCTGAGCATCACTCTCTGCCTGCCCAGGAGATGATAAACTGAGAGAGCAGCAAGGAGACAGATGAAGAAGGAAACACTGACAGACAGAACCATGGCTGTTTCTTTTTCAGGGATTTCTGTCCAGGCCCTTTCTGTCTGAGGGTGGTGAGTGCAAATTTGTGTGTAAGGGGCAAGAGCCCTTCAAAGCTGTGGGAAATCTTAAGAACACCTGCAGCACCTGTTTGCAGGGAATTATTTCATGTGGGTGCAATGCCTCATCCTTAAATCTAATCTTAGGGAGAAGGTGTAGGAAGAATTCCAATTAATTTCATTAATTCCAGATCAGAGGCTAAAAAAAAACCCACTCAAGCAAAATTCAAAATCTCTTGAATTTGAAAAAAAAAAAAACCTGAAATTTTTTTTGCCCCTTTCCCAGATTAAGGCTAGAAGGTTGGGTTGAGACTAGAGCCATTATTTGGCTTTGAGAAATCACTCTTCAAAAACACCTGTTCAGTCAAATACCGAGAACTGGAAAAGCAGAGCTGGCTAAACACAGGTTAGAGTCAAAGTGATGTCCAAGGGAATTGCTCACCTCTGAAGTAAGCACAGCAAACCACTCGTGCAGGAGAGTCATTAACCTGGGGTTGGCTGCCATGGACAGGGATTTCAGGAGGCTTTCTCGTGCAGACAGCATCACCCTCGTTCCAGGGGTACTGCCCAGCACGGGCCTGGCAGAGCAGACCCTCCACAGAAATCCTGGCCCCACTGAAGCCAGCTACAGCTGCACAGGTTTAATCAGGAGGAGGGTTTTATGTCTCCTACTTGAATGTGGAGAGGAAAAAAAGGGCTCTGTTCTCCCCTTGTCAGTCAGAGCTGCCTGATTCGTTGTTACAGCTCCTGGTTTTGGAAAGGAACGCTCACAGGTGCACACACATACCCTTTGTGCAGGTCACTGGGTATTTTCCAGCTTAGCAGGTTATCCCCAGACGTGAGAAGGTTTCAGCAGCAAAGGCCAATCCCAGCAGTGAGAAGGCTGTGGATGCATGTCCTGCAACAGCTGCAGGGGGACAGCAAGGGACAGGCACACCATGACCCCTCCACGTGGCAACAGCCCTCACATGCCAACAGCCTGACCTTAAAAAATTGCTGTCCTTGTTGAAAATCACCTTCCATGACTTTGCTTCTCCTTTCTAACAAGAAGGGCGACGTGGGCGTTTGAAATGTTAATTTTGGTGCTTGTGAAATGCTCGGTGACCTGCGGTCATCTCCCATCGCTGCATTTCAGCCCTGTCCTGTCAGCCTGGCGAGCCAGCTCACAGCAAAGCCCTCTCCAGCTCTTCAGACAATTTCCACTCTCCCTCAGTGGCGCTATTAAGATTCTCAATGTGTGTATCTGGTTTCCAATAGTACGAGCTGCTCCTCAAAGGTTAGAGTTTGTTTTAAATAGCTCAGCCATCTGTCCTGCGGTGCCTGATGGGAGCTGCAGGGATCGAAGCAGCCAAAACAGAATCTTTCAAACTGTCACTTTCTCATTACAAACATTTCAGTTGCAAACAGACCCGTGTCCTTAAAAAGAAAGTTAAGTCTATATAATTTTCTTGTGCATTACACAAACGCTGCGAGTCGTGCTTTAGCACTTTCCTTGTGTTGTTGGAATTTCATCAATGCAAATATTGGGCCTGAACTTCACCAGCACCAGGCACTTTGCAAACCTCATCTGTGTGTTTCGAGGCTTTGAACTAAAAAATACTTATTTATTACAGCACAGAAACAAGAACCAAAACAGAGCAGTAAGGAAAACACAAATGGAAATCAGGCACAGGGGACAGTTCCTAAATGTCAGCTGAAGTCCTGGGCTCACCTATTCTAGGAAGTTAAACCAATTTATTCACTTAAATGACAGGATTCACTTTCTTAATTAAACATTCATTTTGAGGGACATGAGTTGAGAGCACACAGACCAGCTATGTGCAGCAGCTGATACCATTGCTAATACACTGCTGGAAAAACAAAAAGGGATGAGAAGCAAGCAGTATTTCCTTAAGCAAATGCTGCTCCACGCCAGAAAACCAAGCATGGCCCCAGTGAAAATGCTGATTGTCCCTGCACAAACCCACACACTCAGCCACCCCCAGGAGTATCCGAGGAAATGAGACAGACAACAAATATATATTAATCAGAACAACATACCAAAGTTTATTGATTACTTCAAACAAAAGTTTCTGTAATGAAAAAAGAGCAAGTTGCATTCATAAAAGGTAACATTCACATTCAATTTCCTTGATATAAAGCAACATAAATGTATAAAATTGCATTTAAGTGAAAAAATGTAAGGTTGCAGTCCTTTTTCTTTGCAAGAAGCTGAAAATGTATCTGCTCGTTGCCTGTATATAATTTACATTTTCTATACACTACATGGTTTTTTAAAAAAATTTGTAGCTGGGAAACTGGATAAATGGTGCAGTATTAGGAAAGTTTCTCAACTGTGTGTATACAAATTCAATTTGAAGCTTTTATGCAATTCCAAGTCATTTATAATATTCTCATAACAATTAGGATTAGTTTTTGAGAAGTCGCTACGACTACACCAAGCTCCACTGTTATCACATGAGAGTTTTAGAGGGAATCTTAATTACTTTCCTTATCTTTCAGTGTCACTAGTCAGTGATAAAACTTCAACAAATTATTATGAGCAAACCCCAGCCTTTTTTCCTTCAAGTTTCTCCACCGAGAAGCCTTTACTGACCTTTCACTGAGCACCGGGAGCGTGCTCAGGGAACACGAGCACCCACCACAGCCTCCTGTCCCACTCCTGCCTCTCCAACCCTGCTGCCTCACACCTTACAGCCCCTACCACCACTTCTGCTTCCCCTCTCTGACCTCAGAGGGCATCCCCTGATTCCCCAAGTCACCCACAGCAATAGGAATTTTGTTTTTGTCCTCTGCAGGACCAGGGCAGCCGGGCTGTCCTGGCACCCAGCACTGCACCAGTGCACTGGCTGAAGATCCAAGCCCAAGGAAAACTGCATTTTCCCCAAAATAAGCTGCTATTACAAGACACTCCATGTGAATTCCACCCCACCTGTCAGCAAACACACCTTGGGTTTGAACATACAGCTACTGCAGTGGCTTCTTCCAGCTGGAGACAGGACACTTGGAAATGCCAAGAGAAAGATTTGGTTCTCAGAAGGCTCTGTCCTGAGACAGGCAGCAGAAATTATCCCGTTTATGTGACTATTTGGACAGTTCACACACACGCTGAGCTTCACTGTTCCCACAATGGAATTCCAGAGGAACAGACTTTGACCCTTGGAGTAGAGCATGACACAAAACAAACTGAGAAGCAAGGCATCAGGCTTGGGACCATTTGGGCTTGGAATGGTTTTGAATCACAGGAATTAGGCATTTTAGCGCCCATTTTTGAAAGGTTATGTAAACACAAGTCAGCAACTGTATATTTAAGGAGAATGGTTAGATTTGGCATATAGAGCATATCTTCATCGTATTTGTCGTATACTTGATCTGTAGGCACCACATTTCAGCAAATTGAGAACAGGACAAGGTCTGCAAGTTGAACGCTAGGTCTGTGAAATGAGCTGGGAAAACAGAGAAAGGGAAGGAGGGAACAAAGCTTTGCCCAGGGGACACATGCTGGCAGTGCAGCTCCCGACTCGCATGCGAGGAGTGCTCGCTGCCACGGCACAGACACCACGTGTGGCCAGTGCAGAGTGGATGGTCCAGTGTCCTGTCCATCTGTCCCCTCCCTGCTGGCACCGAGCACTCCCCTCTCCACTCAGCCGAGGCCCGGCCAAAGCCCACCGTGCACCGGAGGATTCGCCGGCAGCTGATCCGCACCGCTCCGAACCGCAGGGATGGCAGCCAGAGAGCAGGACTGCATTCTTACAAAAATTAACAACCTGCAGCTCGACAAAACTGGCTGGGGGAATGTTCAGTCCAGTCCCAAACTGTTCTGCTGTACGTGCGTGACAAAGCCCGAGCGAGCGCGAGCCACAGGCGCAGAGCTCGCTGCTCCTGAAATGAGCCTCGAAGCTTCTCTCAGAGCTGCTCTGGGGGACAGCAGCACGAGGGAGGGGCTGTCACACCAACCTGTGGCACACAGGCTGCTCTGTCACTGCTCATGACTTAACACAACAGAAAAAGCTGATCTTTCCACGTACAAAGTATCAGAGAAAAAAAAAAAAATATTGAGAGTCAGGCATCTCACCTTTGCTGTGCAGAACCTAAAGAGGAAAGTTCCTACAACCATGGTACAGGTAGATTTAAAAAGAACATGCCAATTTAAAAACAAATAAAATGTAAAATGAAATCAGGTTCATGTATTCAATTTTAAACTGTCTTCTTTTTTTCTTAGTGCAAATAATTCAAGATGCAGTTTTGTACACCTGCAGGTTCACAGGCACAGCCCGTGTCCCTGGGATCAGCAAGGACTACACTGTCCCTCAGGCCTTCAAAGTGTTGGAGCAACTGCACAGTGCAGTAATGTAAGCACAGCCACGGGAGCCTGGCCACTGGGGCTCAGAGTCTGCCACAGCACAACTTGTGGGATTCCTTTCTCCCCCATGAAAGCTCCCTTCCATCACAGACAGCCACAAAACCTCTTCTTCACCCTCCAGCAGGAATTAACCCAGCAGCAAAGCGGCTGTGGGAGGATGCTCTGGCACTTCCCAGCACTGCAGCTCTTCACACGGACAGCTGCTGTGGACAGAGCACAGATGGCTTCCAGCTCCACCTGGAGGAGGGAACAGCGAAGATTTCTCCCAAATTTTCGGCTGATCCTGCCGTGTGCACCTGGGAAGCACGGCTGGGACGGGCTGCAGGGCTGCATCACCTTCTGTGTGAGGGGAGCAGCCTCCTGCCAGTGCCTTCAGGGGCTGGAGGGGAATGTTTCTGGGTTGAAGTCTGTGCTACTTCTTTGGTCAGGCAGAGCAAGAGCTTTGAGCAGCTCTCAGACAGATCTGCAGCGGGCAGAGGAAGCCCCCGTGTGAAATGGGGCTGGCACTGCACTCCTGCACTTCAATCCATGCTGCTTGGGGTGAATGCCTAAAGATGCTTTCTCAGCCTCCAGCGATGCAGGATTTGGCAGAATTGGTTTTTCTGGGAGGGCAGGGAAGCCATGAGACCAAAGACTAACGGGTACCGTGGGGCCAGTGCCCCGGCTGCTCACAGGTCTTGGTACATCAAAGGTCACTGCCAGGGTAAAACCACGGCTCTCCTACAGCATGACAATCTGCAGTGTTGGGGTGGAGCACTTTAAGGTATCCTGAGAGGATATCTTTCTGCCAAATTAGTGACAGCATCTTCAGCCTTCACATAACCATTCTCTATACGTTTGTATGACACTAACACGGGCAGATCGAAGGGGCCAGCCTGCAAAAATCAGAAGGAACACAGACATGTATTGCAACTGTTACATTCCCAAACTCAAACCTTTTCCTGGGTTATTAAAAAAAAAATATATAGGAGAAGAAGAATGATTAGCCCATAATAAAAGTGCCAAATATCATTCACAACCAAGTAATCAGATGACAAATGAATTTTCACAGTTTTCAAAATGCTGCATTGAGGTCTAACAGCATCTGCCCTGCTGTCCCCTGCAGCTCCTGCTCTGTGCTGGTGCAGCCACCTCCCACAGCAGGCTGCACCAGAATGTGGTGGTGGAGAGCACCACCTAATGTCAGTGGGGAAGGACTGGCTGCCAAGCCTGCCTGCTGGCCCTGCCATGCCCATAAACCTGATTGCCTTGGCAGCAGGGGCGGGCACAAAGGTGCCAGAGGCTCGTAGACAATCTGCAGGTTTCTGTTTGCAGCAGACACCACATGTAACATCTCCCCTGAAAGCAGAATTGTGAAGTCAATTAGGCACTTTTACCTCTTTTATTCTGCTATTGGCTATAAAGTTTAAAATCAAGTCAGCTCATAGGAGGATGCTCTGTGTGTGTGCACAGACACACGGACACCGAGACATGCCTCTGTCCCATGTGCTGACACACAGGTGAGTACATGTGTTTAGTTCCCATCTAGCAGATGAATTAAAACATACTTATTTCTATCTGAGAGAACAGCATGCACCCTAGAGAAAGGGATTTTGGTACAAATCAGATGCAATACTGGAATCATTTTAACAGCTGAGATTTCCATCCTTCACCGTAAATGTATCAGCATTAGCTTTTACAGCCAGGGTTAGCACAATTCAGACTGCCCTCTCCAATTCTCTGCTAATATTAGACTGAAATAGCTGCTAGATTGAAATATTTGTTTACATATTGCCAAATATGTGTAAGTATCTGTACAGATAAGGGATTCTGGAGAAGTTGGATAGTACAACATCCCCAAATTAAAATGCATCCCAAGCATTGCATCTCTACTCCACAAGGACAGGTGCCCCACACCGATAGGCAAGAGGATTACAAGAACCACGGTTTAATTGATTTGGAGGGGGTTACATTTGGTTAATTGATGCCTTTAAAACCATCCCCACTCCTCCAGACAGGGTACCTGTTACAACACATTAGACTCATCTGAGAATGTTCTTAAAAGAAGTGGTCTGACAGAAGGTCTGGCCGACAGTGAATCAGGTGCCTTCCTGCTGCTCTGCAACAGCGAGGCAAAGACACTTAGAGCACACACCACCTCAGCCTGCCTCAGACACCACCAGACACAGCCCCTGCTACAGCTACAGCCTTCCACAAAGGATGGAGCAACACACGCTGAACCCTCGCTAGGTGTTGGTGATCCTAACGCTGCCCGGCCTTTGCAGAGCAAGAGCCACGGCAGGCGTTCACAAACCGGCCCTGCTTCTCTAAATGTTTGGAGATTTATGGTGCTCTTGAGGGAGGAGGAAGACAGCCCTGATCTCCACACAACTGGCATCTTCAGAAGAGCAAGTGATGGTGGAGATCTGCAGTGAACCCAAACACCAGGGATGTGCTGTGGGTGACCCTGCCAGTCCCATGGCCAGCAAGTCCAAGACTACCCCTTGATGTGAGGGTTCTGGGCTGTGGATTTACCACTCACACAAGGAACAAGGGCAGCACTGACAGGCAGCACGGGCTGGGCACTGGGGAAGCTCCTCCCAGGGCAGACAAGCCTGAGCCATTTGACAAACCAATTCCACCCTGTCCCACTCCTATCTGGTCCACTGACACCGAACTCCAGCCAGGCAGGAGAGGGTAACCAGCTTTGTGTCCACCTCAACTGGACATCCTGAGCACGACCAGCTCGCCCACCTGAGATGCAGCAAGAGACCCAAGGGGAGAGACAGACGAAACACTTGAGTGAAAGATTTAAATTAAGGCAAAAGGTAGGGGGAAAGCAAGGTTCTGCTGTGTGAGCAAATCTAAACGTGGGCTTTCAGGAGTTAGGCATTAGAAGGAAGAAAAAAAAGCAGTTGAGCAAGCAACACATTGCGACTCAGAAAGGAAATCACCTTATTCACTCCAAGAAAAGCTGTGATTGCTGGAAGTTTGAGAAAGCATGAAGATAGTGGATGTTCCTGAGGAAGGAAGGCGCTTCGTTACCTAGTTCACAACAGCACAAAAGACAGAAAATTGCAGTACAAGAAAGAGAAAGGCAGAAACCAAGGAAAACACAAATGCGCCTTGCAGTTAAACAAACAGAACCAAAACAAAATGAAAGCAATCACCACATCCCACACAGAAAATTTAATAAAGGCTGAGCAGAGCTGATGTGCTGCGTTACAGGAAACTATATGGGGGTGAGAGCCTGTCCCACTGGGATCAAGGGCAAATACCCAACAACCTGGCCTCAAATCCATCCTCCCCTTCCAGAAGGGAACCTCGGCCACCAGGTTGTGGTTCAGGCCCCTGTACAATCTTCCCTAAGTTTGTTTTTCACTTAATGCTTCCCTTGGGCAGCTTTATTTTATTTCAATTTATTTATTTTTATTTCAATATTAAGGTCAGGATTCTCAATAAGGGTTTTGATTTGAAATCATTTACCTGGTCTTAGATGCCTTTACAAATCAGGCAGCTGACAGGGTGTCTGATGGCTGGCACAGATATTCAGAGCTGGCATCTCCTTCAGGCACTTATAATAAAGCTCTTACTCAAAATGTACATTTAAATATGGTTCAGGCTGTGTTTAGTTTGGGATGCACATCTGAAGAGACTTTTCTAGTTGACACTCACTTTGCTTTGCTAAGTGATTTCACAAGAGCCTTTGTTAAACGAATAAAAAGCACTCTTGAAAGTACTGCAAGAGGGGATGGATCTTTGGTCAGCAGCTGAAGGCAAAAATGGGTCATCTCCCAGGTGAGTTGAGCTGGGGCTCAGAAATCCCCAGGTCACCCTTCCAGGGCACTGTCCCCAAACTGTCCCATGTCTGCAGCTGAGAGCAACTCCCTCCCTGCCTCCTCAACAGGACTGTCCAGCTAGAAACTATTAAATCATACTCAAGTGGAAGAAGTTACACGGATCCTCACAAAATACAACCACAGCTCTCTTACCATCTCGATTGTTTTTGACTTTAATGATGGCCCAGCCCTGGAAGCGTTCGAGGCCAGGCAGGATGGGGCCCTGAGCAACCTGATCTAGTGAATGGCATCCCTGTCCATGGCAGGGGGCTGGAAATGGGTGATCCTTAAGGAGCTTTCCAACCCAAACCATTCTGTGATTCCATCAATCACCAGGGGCTGGGGGTTCTCTTCTCCCAGCCCATGTCCCTTCAGCTGGGCCCTACAGCAGCCTGGGGACATGCAAACCCCAGGGCAAGGGCCAGGGCTGGCTGCAATTCCCCCGTGCTGGCCCAGGGCAGGAGCTGCTGATGCTGCAGGAGGGAGAGCAGGGGGAGCAGGGGATGGGGCTGCCCTCGGGGACGCTCAGCCCCTCTGGGCAAGCAGAGACAAGGGGCAGGGGGCTCAGCACAGCGAGTTGTGAGCCTGGCAGTGCTTCACCACTTGCCAGAGCAGTGGAGGGAACTTTTTAAGAGGTTCCCAGCTGGAAAGGGAGCCCTCCTCCCCAGCAGTGAAGGAAAGCTGTTAAGAAACCAGACAGCTTCCAGGGAGAGTGAACACCACGGGCTGAGCCTTCGGTTATTTATGGAGGGTGGGCAAATGTGACTCGGCCTGGCCCTGCTCCCACTGCACCAGCAGCTGAGGACAGACCCAGGGGAGCCTCCTGCTCGTGCCTTCTGACACCAAAACAAGCAGGAGATCTCAGGACAAGGTAAGGTGTGTTTGGTGATCAGGCTGGACAAGGCTTATGCACTTCTCTAGGAGACACCACATTCCCAGCCAGGGAAGGCAGCTAAGGAAAGGCTCAGGCTGACTCCCTGCTGCACATCTGGGCAGTACTTTTAGAATAACTTCTTGACATTTTTGGCATGTGAAGGAAAAGCCTTCCATAGAGATGTGAGTGGAACGTGGTATTGTTAGAGGTTCAGCTGGTGCCTAAGGGTAAGAAAGGTCTTCCTAAAAATACAGTGTGATACATCATCTTGTTCCTTACCTGATGATTTTTCTCTTTTATATTTTTTAAAACTATTAGAAGAATTTCTGGGAAAAGGCTGATAAAAATCAGGAGAATTATTGCCAGCCATGTGGAAACAGAAGTCAGCATATGAGCAAATACAAAATACATTCTTTGCTGCTTCAAGAAAGGCCTGAAAAAGAAAGGATACAAATAAATTCTGGTTAACATGGGTTTTCCAAGAAGACCAGAATCAAAGGAGGCTTCAGGTAAAGCTATTAGCAGTTATGCCTCCCTTTCAGACAGAGATGGATACAGCACAGAAACACACTGTCCATCCTCCTCCCAATCCATCTCCTGCCTCCAGCTGCACTATTTCTGGAAGCTTGTCATGATCCATTTTGTACCTTCCATGTCTGTTTCTTTTCAGGGTGGGAAGGGGTTTGAATTTAGCCACCACCACTGAAAGATAAATGATTCACCTCACCAAAAACCAGGTAATTTTATTTCAACCTCAGGCTTTGCTGCAGCTTCTGGTTTGGTTTTGATAGTGGAAATCCAGAGTCTCTCCATCACAACAGGTTATTTGCCCCTTCCTCCTTTGCTTGATGAGGGAGAACAACCAGCTGCTTGTGAAAAACACCTCATCAATAACTGATGACAAGGATCCCAAAGCAGCTTTTGCTTACTCTTAGATCAAAAATATTGAGCTATGCAAGTTAAACAGCAGAAAGAGTTTTCAGTAGAGAACTAACATTTAACATGGAGATGTGGCTAGATTGCAGATCTGGATCTGTTGGTCAGCAAAAGGTAACTGAAGAGCTAAAGCTTGTGACCGCCCACACAAAGTATTTAAACCTGTTCCACATCCTTATTAGCAGCTTGCTGGATCAGGGATCCAGCCAACAGCCCTTGGAGAAGCAAAGGTGTAAACCAGAGACGCTGTCTGTCAACTGAACATTTACTGCAGCACAGCAAATACAAAACTGGCAATGTTTGTAATGTGCTAATGCTCACCTGCTTTTGCATTTAAACCTAAAATGCTGGGTGCACTTGAATCAATGAGAATTTCTTTTACTTGGATCCATAATTTCAACACCAGGACCTGGCTTTCTCCTGTTTATTCTTCCCCTCTGTCCCAGAGGGCCAGGTCCTCTTGCTCTGCCTCATCCATTCCCTCCTTCTGTTTCACTGGGATTCTTTCCACTACAAATTCTTTCTGTCTCTCTCACCCACAAACACCCTAAAAGGTTCACTCTAGAGCCTCCTGATAAAGGCAAGAGCCTCAGCAGCAGAAATGATTCCATGGTTAGAAAAGCAAACACGTCCTGCCAAAGCTGAGCACGTGGATGGTGCCCAGAGCATTATCTCTGACAGGCTCTTCCCTCTGGGGGGCTGAGCCCTCCTCAAACACCTCTGACCACACAGCAGCCCCTTCCAGCACTGGCTTTTGGTGCCCTTCCTCAGTGAGCAGGGCAGTGCCTGCCCTGGCACCCCCAGGTCTCAGGATACCCCAAGGAGGGACGAGCTCAGGGCACTCCCCTAAGAAAGCCGTGGAAATAAGAAAAGGTACTTGCCAAATGACTCCTCCCCAAAAGAATGAGAAAAACACATAGAAAGCAAGGGAGCCCCAAATCACAAAGTGGTTCATCCACGTCCAGAATCGGGTATCTAACGCTAGCTGTGGGAATAAAAAGAGACAAAACAGGCTTTAGATGCAGAGTGTACTGGATTGTATTGGTATGAAACTTCAGACTGGTGCCACATTAAGGCTGAAGGCTCTCCAAACAGCTACCTCTGTGCATATGGGCACCAGGAAAAACAATTTCAATGTCCACAGTGTTAGCAGGGAAACAGTGACATCCTAATTGTAACTGACACTTTTTAATGGAATAAATTTGATGCAACCCCTGATGCTACAGGAAAGAAACATCTAAAGGTTACAGGGACTGTAATTGCCTCTTGTCACCACCTGCTGTCCTGAACCAAACACAAAAGACCTTTTGTAAGGTCTTACACAAACAGTTTGTTCTGGAAAGCTCCATGAAACAAAATAGGTTTGCTATTGTTATTTGACACACGTGCTTTTGTGATCTCTGGCACTCAGCCCTGTCTGAAACAAGGTGGACAAACCCAAATTCTTTATTGCTCCTTTCCTATTGCTGGAACTGAACATCAAGAGGTGAAAACATGGGGAAAAGTCAACCATAACCAACTGGAGTCCTCAAAAGAGGGGAAAAAAATTAGAAAAATAACTCAAACTAAACAAACACCTAAAAACCCCAGACTACACAAAGGGAAGTAAGCAGGTTCTGCCTCCATGGAAGAACGAAGATTTAAGTGTGGTGGAAAATGCTCGTAGCCACTTATCCTCAGCACTCTGAGTTCAGGATCCCGCAGTGCCCAGCTGAGCCTGCAGCGAGCAGGAGAGGGAGGGAGGCAGGGAGGGAGGGAGGCAGGGAGGGAGGGAGGCAGGGAGGGAGGGAGGCAGGGAGGGAGGGAGGCAGGGAGGGAGGGAGGCAGGGAGGGAGGGAGGCAGGGAGGGAGGGAGGCAGGGAGGGAGGGAGGCAGGGAGGGAGGGAGGCAGGGAGGGAGGGAGGCAGGGAGGGAGGGAGGCAGGGAGGGAGGGAGGCAGGGAGGGAGGGAGGCAGGGAGGGAGATGCTGACCTTGAGAGTGACGGTGAACACCAGCACGGTGAAAACAATTGTCCCAAAGGTCCAGTTCCCAAACACCTGCAAAACACACAGGGCACTGCCACAGGCAGCCCGGCCCCTCGGGGGAGGCACAGCCAGGGGCACGGGGGGCAAGCAGGGAGCAGGGGGGGCTGGCAGGGAGCCCTGGCAGGGCCCCAGGCACACGCACGCCTCGCGCCGCCCCGAGCCATGCAGCGCCACACAGACGGGTGACCAGAGCTGGGACGGTGACAGGGACAACCTCCTACTAACAGCAATGTCGATCCAGGACACAAAGTCATTGCACCACCTGCATTTCAGGGTTTCTTGGCAATTTACTCAGTTTCTGCTTTCTCGTCACACTCATCATCATCTCTTTGCAGTCCCCTCTGCAGAAGGCACCGGTGGGTACTGCTCCACCTGGTTTGGTTTGTGGGTACTAGTGACTACGCACACAAAGAAAAGCAGATACTGTATATAAATCCAAATGATGGCAATGAATGGGAGAGATGCTTACCAAAGGCTGTCAAGATCTGAATGCATACATTAAAACAGAAAGTGAAATGTAAAAGTTTCCAAAAAATGCAAAAAAATTAAAGTCAATAGGAGTGAAAAACGAGTCAATCAAACATACATGGATATTATGAACAATTGCTGGTAGCAGTTCTTACAGGCATAAGTATTTACAGAACAGAACATAACCACAGATCTCATTGTAGTGCCACATAGACCTGACCTCCGAAGGCATTTGCAGAACAGATCAGTGCTTCGTGTTTCATTCAAATACAACCAGAATGGTTATAGATACAAAAGAGCACTGATTTGACAATACAGGGGCTTGACTACACGTGACTGAGGCCATAAATGCTGGCATTGATGCAATGTATGAATATACATACATAAATTGAAATTTTCTCTAAGTGTTAGCCACTAAAAAAAGTTTAGGTATTTTCAAGGGCCATAAATGATGTTGTAAAGGAGTTTCCCATCAGCCAAAATCTAATAACACGTGGCAGCTGCCCTGCACTAACAGCTTGCTCTGTACTCGGTTAACCAGCAAAATAAGAAAAAATAAGAAAAAAGGAAAAATTAAAAAAACCTCCATCTTTTTTCCTCCTCTTTCTGTGCAAGTTAACCCCATGAATTCCCACACCACGCTGACGTGGCGACACAAGGGCTGGTCCCCACAGCAGAGGCACGAGCAGGAGGCAGCAGGGACAACATCCAGCAGCTCCAGCAGCTGGGGACCTCTGCTGCCTCCAGAACAGGAGCAGAGGGCCAGCACCAGCCTCCCCCAGGGCAAAGGGAGACCAGGGCTGGAATCACACCCCCAAACAGAGCCAGCCCTGCACTGTGTCTGCACTAACGAGCACCATCTCATCAAGGTGGGCTAATCCAGCCGCTCACAGCCAGCCAAGCACACGCCCAGTGTCAGGCTGTCACTGGGGGAAGGACAAGCACTGCTCCTGCCCTGGGCCAGTGCCTGGGACCACACAGAGGGGACGAGCACAGTGCAAAGCTCACTGCCTTGGAACAGAGCTGTGTGTGAGACTAGTCATTTTACCTAGTGTGTGTAACCAGCTCTGCCCTGTTTCCATGGCGATCTGGAAGATGTTTTATTTCAAGCATTTGCTGCAGAATCACACCATAAGCAAGGCTGCATTGTTGGACAGGACTCGAGACACGCTGCACAGATTAAGCACGCAGATATTCCCTGCCAGGCGTATCAGAGGCAGCACACAAAACAAACACTCGTCCTCCTTCCCTCTGCTGCCGTTACCTTTCCGTTATCTTCCAACGATGAGTTTTGAAAAAGGAAATAAACCCCGAAGAAAAACACAAGTCCTTCAAAGGCGCCCAGAAAGGTCCAGTACAGGAATGGCCTCCACTGCAGCATGGCATTATCCGACACCTTCCTGCCAAGAGATGGAGTAACGAGCCCATCACACCACGCTCGGGATGTGCTGGAAAGCAGAAAGGGGACTGGGGGGCTTTGGAGTATGAGGCAAGGGGGGAAACCACAGAAATACCTGCCAGCACATAAAGAATATTTCTCATGTGCAGCTGCTGACCATGAGAAACCACAAGAGGTTCAGCATATGAATTGTTTTGTCCTTCTCTAGGTAACTTGGATGAAAAAAGCACAGAGTGAACAGAGGCAATGCTGTCCTGAAGCTCTCTTGCAGCCCCTGTGCTGCAAGAGACATTATCTCACATTATCTGCTCAATTTTAAAAGTGGGGTAAGGCTAAAGAGCAGCTATATGGGATGCACAAAATCTGTCGTGTGCCTCCCTCTTTTTGTTGAATGCACAAAGTTCTTTTTTGAGAAAAGCTCTGCAAGCCCTGTTCCCTGAAGTGGTGTTTTTCTGCACAGGCTGAAAATAACCTCCTGAATTGTATGGTGGGTGTTTTTATCACAGGGGTTGTAGCAGGAGGCTCTTGGCTGAATACAGGATGAGATCTGGCATGGAGGCAGCAGCAACAAACAGATAGGCTATGAGCAAAGCTCTGCAGGGACAGGACCTGGGAGTGCAGGGGAGCTATGGGGGCAGGAGGGAGATAAAAACAGTTCCCTGCATCATTATCTTGTCAGATTGCTTTCTTTAGAGTCCCCATCTTTTTTGCATTGTTCTCCTTAACTCCTAAAGCAAAACATCCATTTCCAGCACGATGCACTTGGCAAACCTGTGTGGTGCTGGGCTCCTGCAACTGCAGTTTCTGAAATGAGACCCTACTGAAACCTACACACAACGATGCCGTGACCACGCTCCAACATTTCACAGTTTGGGTCTGAGGAAAGAGCAAAGACAAACCAGACTGGAAGTGTGGGGTATTGCAAAGACAGAAAATACAAGCAGCTTCCTCCCTGTGAGCTCTGTTTTGCATTCCCATTTCTGTCCTGCAGTGCTTGTGGTAAACAGGCTTTTTCCAGAGTCAGGATCTGCACTGCAGCAGCTCAGCACTTCTCCAGCAGCAGCGCAGCGGGCGCTCTGCATCCAGCAGCACATGCACAGTCATGAATATTCAAAATAAGGCTGTTTCCCCTCAACAGACAGAGCCCAGAGATCAGAGAGCCCACCAGGGGAAGGAACAGGGGCCTGCTGTTATTGCTCTCTGTTGCACAATATTCAATTACCAAGCTATTTAAAAATACAGACTGTGGCATTTTGCCATAGAGTGAAGGAATATAGAGCTCTGATCGACCATGGCTCTGACTGTTTACTTCAAAACCACCCAATCCTCTTCCCAGCCTTACAGCTCTTGTTGCATTTACTGCTTTTTCTATACCTAAGGCAATTTTCACACAATATTTTAGGCACCTGATAACTCCCTTTGCTGTCCCTGCACAGAGATCACCCTTGGCTCGGGCACAGCCGTGCCACATGTGGCTCCCTCACTGCTGAGGAGCATCACACCACAGCAACAGCCACTGGCCAAAGCAGCCCTGAGCTGGCCTTTTCCACAGGGCTGAGCTGACTGCCAGGCTGGGGAATTAGCAACAGGGATGCACAGAGAGCAGTTTCCTCCAAAAAACATCTTCCTTCCAAAGGGCTGCCCCAAGCACGTGTGTGGGCAGGGCTGGGAGGAAGATGGAAAGCATCTCTGTGTTTTGTCTGTGTTGCTGTGCAAGACTGGAGCTTCTCCCTGCTGCAGCCAAGGAGAGAAAACAACAAGCAAAGCAGAGAGAGACAGTCTAAGCTCTCCTTTCCCTGGGCAACGTGGCAGAAAACCGAGTGTGTGGATGGATGAGCAGAGCTCCCTGCGTTCTGACAGGGGACCTGTGCAGGGGAAGCCTGGGGGACCATACCCATTTAGACAAGCTGAGAAACCACCTGCCTGAGCTGGGCTTCAGAAACATCCATCTTTCTGAAAATGAATGGATCTTTTTTCCTCCTGAAAGCTACATCTCCCCTCCCTACATTACACGCTCCATCACGTGCTTGGCTCAAAGGTAACGTGAATGAACGCTCTGGCCACACTCACTGCTCCATTTTTCTTATGGATGAATTCCACCTACAGCTGACTCTTTCACAGAGATACAGCAGTGCAGTTTGCCAGACCAGATACTGTCAGGGCATAAACAAGTAGCAACAGGCTGAAAAGACAAGGCTGCTCAGCTTGCCTGCAGGAACAGCTGAGCCAGGAGGGGCAGAAATGGCTTTTCCTGCCCTCCAGTGATCCCACCCCTGACACAGGACAGCGACACCTGCTCACACTCCTGCACCAAGGAAACTGAAACCATGGCTGACAGAGGTTTACCCAGCCCAGGACCACTCACATGTAGAGCTGAGGGTCCGAGGTCAGCGTGTCGATGCTGATGTGCTGCTCCAGGAGGCTGTAAGCCAGGATAGGCAGCGATGTGAAGCAGATGTTGTACATGGTCAGATAAGCAGCATCATACAGTGGCTTAGAAAAGGAAGAAAAGGTTAAATGAGAAACAGAAAAAGGCCTCTCCACACAGAAATGAAGCCATGAATTTCCAGCCCTTGTCTCCTACATACCCTGCAAAGCCATCCCTTTGTCACACAGCACAGCTCTGCTGGATGGGAGCTGTGCTCTGTGCAATGCTGGGGGAGCGAGGCACCTGCAGGCTGCGTGCCCTGGGACCTGCTCCCACTGACAGCAAGGTCTGTAACTGGCTGGTCTCATCTCCAGCTCATCCTCCAGGAAAACACGACTAAACAGCCTTTATCACAGCTTTCCTCCTGCTGCTCTTGTGCTGCCGTTTCTATTAATACATTTGATGCCTCCTGTGGTTCTCCAAAGACTCTCTAGACTGTTTTAGAGGAACTATAGCTTCTTTTTTTTAAAAAAAAGAAAAAGGCAACTGTTTCTGCCAAAACAAGCAGGGAATTATCTCTCACCATTTACTCCTCCTTTTACTTTTGAGCCCAAATAGACACAAAAGCCCCTTAAGTTGACACGAAAGCCACAGCTCTTGTCTCCAAGCACATGAACCCACTCACCACATGGATCTGCCCCTCTGTTGCTTACTTGGACTAAGCAAAGCTCTGTAACACTCATTGTGTGTCTTTTTTTAAAGCTGCCATAAAAGAATGAACCATTCTTCCTTCTGAGTGACATTTTTAATGCAGTGAAATGCAGGAAACCTTTCAAAACCTGTTCTCATAAGAGAAGCAGAAATAGCAAAATCAGGCGCTGACAAACCAGCTCAACCCTTCTCTCATCACTTCAGGAACGTGTCCACCTGTGTTTACAGCTGGTGGATGGGAAAGGAAAGAAAGGAGATTGCTTTGTTTTCAGTTATTGTCTCAAGATGTTATGTTCCAGATCTAGTGCTGAGCAACAAGGTCAGCTCCTGCTGTCCTCTAGAGCAGGATGGTGAAGGGACAGGATGCCAAAAGCCAAGTCTCTGCTAGGAAACCTCATTATGCCACCTGCTTTTTATCTTGTCTATCTTGCTTTTATAGGCAAATTACTGGAAGTTACCTGCTGTGAGAATCCACAAAAGAACTGGTATAAAAACTGCGGTAAAATGAAGCAAAGGTTCTAGAAAAACAAAAGACAAATGGTCAGCAGGGAAGCACTTGACTTCTCAGTCTAAATCCAAGCAGTTTTTCCTGTTATCAGACATTAGTGTCTGACATTACAACATCAGACAAGGTAGGGCACTTGTTCAATCAAGCACAAAACCAATCCAGTGAGCAGTTAGTATCTGCAGGAGACAATAGAATGCTCACATTCCCCTGGAAGCACTGCTGTCAGTGGACAGGCACATGGCAGACACAGCCTGTCCTGGGGAAGGAAAACAGAACTACAGAATATCCCACAGGGTTTTTTTCCTGTTTATTATTTCATTCTGTTGTCAAAGAAATGCACAGGATAAACAAAGAAAATCAGCTGCACACTGCCCCTTACCTTATAGAAGAAATACTGTACAAGGTGTGCTATTCTCACATAATATAAATGCCCATGTGCTAGTAGCAGTTTTCTTAAATGTTTAAACTTTGGCACAGCATAGTCGCTGTTTCTGGAGGCCTGACGTCCTTCTTTGCCTTTTATCCCTGGAGACAGAAGCATGGCAAGGGGTTAATCCCCAAGGGGCTGGAATCTGGATGCTGCCCACTGGGTTTGCTCACATCTCTCAGTGTCCCAAGGCATGACCAAGGCCCAGTTTCCCTCCTGAGTGCCCCAGAAGACCAAACACGAACACTTTGTGTGGTTTTGGCTCCACAACACTCAGACCTGCCCTCTGGAGTCTTTAAGCTGTATTTAGGCTGCTCTGTGATTTCCTGTGTAAGGGTGGTGAAGGGTGTCTAGGCAAACCTGATGAGAGATAAGGAACTGGCTGGCCTGCATCTCTCACAGCTCAGTTATTCCCCTGCAGCTGCTCAGCCTCCTGAGACACCCCCACAGAGCTGTTCTGCTCACAACAGCCACAGCCAAATGAACTGCACTGGATTCCCTTCATTAGGGGGCACCACAGCATTTCCAGCAGCCCCAAGTGAAGAACATGCCCCTTCTCCAGTGGTGTTACAGGAGAGCAGGTCTGGGCTGTGAGATGGGTGATCCAGGGACTCTTACCTATTCCAACATGTGCTTCCAAAATCATACTGACATCATTTGCACCATCCCCTATGGACAGGGTTATTGGGCTTCCTTTTGTGTTCTTCACCATTCGCACAATCTAAAAGATTTAGAGAAAGGACAGCAGCAGAACCCAAAATTCAGTTCAAAAGCCTCCAGAGACCTTCCCACTGCTCCCCCAGGACAAGCAATCAGGCTTTTACAGCAGCAACATAACACACCAGGTTAATAAAAGCCCTTGTTACTTGCTTTGCAGTCACAACCAGAGCAAGAGCCCAATCCAGCTGTGCAGGGCTGAAGGACAGTATTTAAAAACAAACCCCAGCAGCAGCATCCTGCTCTTCCCTTCTGCCAGACCCTGCTCTCCCAAAGGTGGGTTCTCTCACGCCTCTCAGGGTGCAGAAACACATCACTTATCAGGCTGGGACATCATCTGCTGGAGTGAGGAAGTCACGGACCCCACTTGACAAATTTGGAAAGGGAAAAAAAAAATTAAAAAAGAGCAAACCAGGAGGTTTTGTTTATTTCTAATTGGCCTGGGTTGACAGGTTCCTGCCAGCACATTAAACAAAGGGTCTGCATTCAGATTGGAAAGAATGGTGTGCTTTCATCATGCTCTGAAGCTCAGACGAGGCTTACACATAGCCTGGAGAAGTCCTGCTTGATCAGGATGATCAGGTCAAGTCGCAGCTGATGAATGCAGCGTGCGTCACAGCAGCAGTGACGTGCTCCAGGCAGGGAGAGGTAAATACCTGTGCTTTCTGCAGCGGGGCCATCCGGCAGCAGAGGACTGCAGTGCACTTCAGGCAGATCTGCAGGAATATGCTCTTGTAATTGCTAGAGCCAGAGTCCTGAGAGGGGTTGAGTATCAGCGACAGCGTCGAGCCATCTATAATCAGTCCATATTCTTGACTCAACGTCCAGCTTCTGGGGCACAACAAGGAACACGTGTGAAACGTAATCAGACCAAGAAGTCAGCCTAGCTGCTTTTATCATCTTAGGGAAAAAAACCCTGGTTTTGGGCTAATCTTCTTCCCATCCATTTTTCAGGGCTTAGCAATTTTAAAAACCTTAGACTTAACACATGCCCTTCACTAAAGGAACAGAGCAATTAAGTTCAAAGCCAGCTAATACCAGAGATGATGAGCAAAGCAAAGGAACCGGTCGCAGTGCCTGCAAGGAACCAGTCCCCAGGGCCACAGCCTGCTCCTGCTGTACCAAATTTGCATCAGAAAGGGCCGGGTCCTCTGGCTCGCTTACCTCTTCAGGCCTCCCCGGTTTTTGGGAACATCCTGAATCAGCTTTTTGTGGTACTCCAGCAGCAGCTCATGGAGCCGATCCTCCTTCCTCTCGCTCTCGCCCACCGTCCTCGCCGTCAGCTCCAGCAGCTCGGTGCTGGTCTGGAAGAGCCTGCAGGCGTAGCAGGTGGATTTGGCAGTTTCCATCTTGTCTCCTGTCAGCACCCAAACCTTCATGCCAGCTGCGTGCAGGGCTTCGATGGTCTCTGCCAGCTGCTCCTGCAGCCTGTGAGCACAAGCAAAGCATCACAGTCGGCCTCACCCCATCCACACTGCCCCGACTCCGAGCCTGCAGGTACACAACACCAGCCCAAGAGAAGTTCATTGACTGTTCCCATGCTGGGGAGACCACTGCCAAGGAGTGAGGATTACAAGTCAGCAATACCAAGCTTTTATTTGCAGGCAACAAGAGAAATCACTGCTTTATACTCTTGACTCTTAGGCCTCACAGTAAGAGTTTAATTTACACTTGCAGTTACTATAACTGAATGTGGAATTGAATTTGTTTTGATGTGCAAATTAATGCTGTGTGCTTAATTCACTCTCTAGAAGTGCAAGTATTTCTGTAGTTTCATTAATAAATCCCAATTCCTACTACACCAGCCAATTTAAGCAACTAGGGCACTGTGAAATGGGTTGTGCCATGGTGTAATTAATTGCCCTGGACAGTGCCAGCACCTGCCTGTTCCACCACAGAGTCTGGGCTGCAAGGCCACATCACAGAGAAACCACAGGCAGCACAGGGCTGGTGCTGCAGTCACCTCTTTACCTGTCTTCTACAGCAGTAGCCCCAATCAGGTGCATGTCGGCTTCTGTGTCGTCAAAAACCTTGGCCATCTTCTCCTCCCTGTCCTGCAGAGCCATCTTGGCTTCACTGAGCTGTCTGTCAATTCTGTCATACTCCTTCTCAGTCAGCTCTTTGAAGGCCACACAGAGTGTTCTGTAGCCATCCTGGCAGCAGGAGGGAAAGAAAATAAAGTGGACAAATGCCCTAAATCCAGATTTTTTACAGCTCCTCACTTCAGGGTTGGTGCTTTTGTCTACCATCAGCCCTTCTGGCAGTACTGACCCTGAGGGCAAGGAGAATTTGTTGGCTTGTGTCAAAAGAGCAATTTTCTGTGTTTATACAGTAACTTCTTCCCACCAGAGCAATCATGGTGCTGCTTATTATGTGCAGAAAGAAACTAAGAGAAGGACCAGGGCTGAGAGAATGCAGCAGCAGGGACTGGGTGCCACCAGAACTGGGACCAGGCTGCTGATGTTACCTCTATTTTTAACTTGCCTGGGAGATGCTCGGACACAACTGTGATGGAGACCATATAAGTATATCAAATAAAGGTGGAAGCCAACCAAACAGAAAAGGAAAGAAGCCTGTCACCAAAACAATGTGAAGTGACACATTTTCAACACTTCCCTCCAAAGCAAGGTCACATCCCTATTTTTGGAATAAGGCTTTCCTGAGCCCAGGGGCCAGCCAAGTTCCACCCGTGTGCTCACCATAGCATTGCGGTCCACGTGGACTTTTGTTTGTTGGATTTCTTCTTGCTGCACCCTTGGAAAAATAGAGGAGTCTGCTCCTTTACAGAAGAGAAGCAACTTTCCTAAAAGCAAATTATAAATAGTTTATAGCACTCACAAGCTGCAGAAAGACTTAATGTCAATAGCAAGTGATGCAGAGGGAGGAATTGTGGCAGGACTGAAGAGGGAACTGCTAGAAACCCAACTGGCTACCAAAAATGGCCTTTGACCAGCCTGTGAAAAACCTGTGGCTGACCTGGCTGAGACTTTGGGTGTCCCCACCTGTCTCTGAGCAAGTTTTCTGCAACAGGCTGGACATTGTACCTGTAAGCCCTGGTAACCTTTCCAGGGAGGGTAAAACCAGCATCCCAAACTTTACAGGACTGACACTTGAGAAGGACAGTGACCTCAGAATTTTTGTCTGTTATTCCCATGAAACCCCATCCCACCCAGGGGACATTCTCACATGTCTTCCCTGTACTTGTTCCAGCCTGGAACAAGGCAGGCAGGGAGCTCTCCAAGGGTCACTGTTCTCATCCCCTGAGCTGCTGCTGCTCCCAAACAGCTGCTATGAAGGAAAATTAACCCAGTACAGAATTCAGTTAGACCAGCCTAGAAAAGCTCAGCTGGTCTGGGTGACAGGAGTGAGGAGGATGTGTTTTAGAGCTGTGCACACAGCTATGAGAGGCCACAAGAGCACCTGGCCTGTACCTGTGCTGGTTCTCACAATGACACTCATACGGCGCCGCACGGGGTCGAAGTTCAGCACATGGAGGAGTTGGTACCTTTGGAAAAAGAAAAAAGCTTTGACTCAGTAGAGGAAAAATAGAAAAATAACTATTTGAGACAGAAAATCACTAACAATGAGCTGCAGAAATCAATACACCCTACAAGTGGCATCAGCCACCTGGGAATGAATTTCACAGCTACTGCACGAGAAAATGGAGGGGAAAACCCAAACTCCAGTAGTCCTGTGGTGCTCTGAGCATGGGACTGAGGGTGTGGGTACCCAGCAGTGCACCAAGGCCCCAGGCTGGGCAGGGGCTCAGCAGGGAACGGGGCACCATGTGCCACAAGCAGTAACATTGAGTCTCCCACTTAAATAAGAAGTTTCTTCATGAGGGAAGTAGGAAGTGAAACTTGCTTGTGAAGGGAAGTTTTCAGGGAGTGCTGGGATTAGGCCAGTGACTCACAGATGTCCACCAAGCTGTGAGCACAGGGTAAAATCGAACTATTTTCAGCTTGGGAGGGGGGAAAAAGGGGTTACAGGGTATGGAGCAGTATCACAAGTTCAGGTTTCCAGTGTCCTGCTGTGAGCCCCAGCCACGGCCCATAAGGTCAGCAGCCACCTCCTGAATCCCAGCAGCCACCTGCACAACCTGGTACAGGTGAAGGATACACACAAAGGACTGCATGCTCTTGAGGGACCTGAATTTAGACATCAGAAAGCCACCCATGGATTTCTGCAAGTGAGCCTTTAACGTCACCTACACCTTGATGTGCTGTGCTCTGTAAATGGGACAGGACTTTTGGGGCAGGTCAGCACAGTCTGACAGCCCTCAAGGAACAGCTTTGACCTTGCCAGGCTGACCAAACTCAATTAAGCTGGGTGGGAGTGGTGCAGAACAGCAGCCCCGTTCCTCAGCAGCCCCAGCAGCACTTACATCTCAGTTTCATTCTTTTGGTTTCGTATTTTCATGAAATTGTTTTCAAGTCCTAGAAAAGTGAAACCATACCTGTCAATAAACAAAAGGACAGAACAACATTGAAAACACCCATTGGCACATATCATACATCAATGTTCTCGTTTCACCTTCTGCACTGCAGAGGAGAGCTGGGTGAGCCTGAGCTAAGGAGCACGGCTGGATGTTTGTTTGCTCCATGCAGAGCCTGCTGTGATGTCCTGGCACTGCTCCCATCCCCTGGAGAGCCTGGGCACTGGAGCACACAGACACACAGAGCCTCTGGACATGGTCCACTGGCTCTCTGGCAGCTTTACAAGCCATGAGCAAGTATACACAGCTGCACCAGCCTCCATCTAAAACCTAGGGGCTGGAAGGAGCACAGAATCACTGAATGGCTTGGGCTGAGAGTATCTTACACATCACCCAAAGCCCTGCCATGGGCAGGGACCTTTCACTAGCCCAGGTCACTCTAAGCCCCACCCAGCCTGCCCTGGAGCATCTCTGGCAGGATTCAGATGTGGGGTTGACAAAAGTAACCATCCTGTTATTTTGCCACTGCATGGCAAGGAAAGAATTTCACTGCAATATGCACATGGTAGCTGGTCTCTGTTTCTAGGGGATTAAAGCACATGTGGGCTGCAGCAAAGAAGCCTCTGCCACACCTGGGCACTGCAGCACTTGGGGCTGCTCTCAGTGAATGCAAACCATGGCATCCCAGGGAGCTGCTCAGGGAAGATCCTTTACAGAGCATCCCTTTAACAGAGAGCTCATTCAAACCCACAGGCTCACAGGACTACAGGTCAGGTTCAGCACTGGTACCACAACACACTTCCCAGAGAGACCATGCAAAGGGATCTGTCACCTTCAGACCACCCTCACCTCCCTCCTTCCCAGCAGAGAGGGTGAATTAAAAAGCCAACATCTTCACATTCTTACTTTTCTGCACCTTTCACCAAAGCGATTTCATCTGGGGAAGAGGAGATATAGGTGTATTTGCGCTCTGGGTGTGCCATCAGCCCATCCACCTGGTCTGCCTCCTTGATCTGAACCGTGTGGCACAGGCAGAGGGCTCTCAGGAACAGCTCCTCTCGGCTCTGGGCAGGAGGGAGGGAGGGCTCGTTACCAGCTGAATGCCTCACCCAGCCAGGAGCTGGCCACAAATCCCTTCCAGCCAGCAGCACACACACTTACCTTCTCAGCCTTGCCGTAGTATTTGAGGGGTCCATCGGTCTGGGAGAAGCCATCCACCTCTGAAAGGCAGTCTTTGTACTTGTGCCCGTCGATGCAGCACTCGATGAACTCCATGCTGTTCTCTGTCAGTGTCCCTGTTTTGTCTGTGAACACGTACTCCACCTGCAAGCACCACACAGCTGCCAGGGGCTGGGGAAGGACCCCAGACACACAGCCTGGGGCATCTCAGTGCATCTGGGCCAGTGCTGGGGAGTACTTGGCTCTCCCAGCCCCACTGCAGAACAGACACAGGTGCCCCACTACATCACTGTGTAGTTCTGCTGCTTTGCCCCTTTGTTTCTCAGCACAGGTGATGGGAGGCAGCTTCTGAAGACTAAGATCTGTCTCCAGGCTCTTCACCTTCCCCTCATTCACTTTCTTGGGTCCTTTGCTACAGCCCTGCTGCCCACAGAGCTGCTGCTGCAGGTCTGTTGCCTCCTTTGGGGGATTTTCATCTTGGAGCTGTATTTCAATAAGCTTATTACTACTCCAAGTGTATTTTAATTATTGTTTTTAAAGCAGAATCAAAAGCAGGAGGCACTAGCCATGCCCTGCACTCATCAGAAAGGGAAGCCTGAGCTGCCCAGGTGCCCCAGCAAGGCAGCAGCAGCACAGCTGCACATGCTCTGCACGCCCAGGGAGATGACTGGGCAGACCTTTTCATTAATCCTCAAAGAGTCAGAGGATTTTTAATTTTTAATTTTTAATTGAAGCAGTGAAAGCAAAGCACCCTGCCACGCAGAGCTGCGCCTGGTATTGCCCAATATGGAAACAATTGGCGTGACCCAATTCCTGCTCTTTCATGCACTATTTATAACCTTATCTGCCTCACAGAGCCAGTGCAATCACATTACACAGAAAGTGCCACCAAAGCAGGTGAAGCTCTGGCCCCAGGGGACCGTGAGGGATGCCACTACAAGGGCTCCTTGCAGGGAGGGCACTTCCATGCACATCTTCATCCAGACAGATGCAAACACAGCCCGTGCTGACCTGCCCGAGCTCCTCGTTCAGGTCCGAGGTGTTCACCAACGCTCCCTCTTGTATTTCCTCATCGTACATCTCCTTGTCCCAGGAGATGAAGAAGGAGCCCAAGAACTTCTGCATCTCCACTGTAACGTACATGGAGACAGGGATAATGAAATTGAAGAGGACCATAAACGACAGGAAGTCCGTGAACATCCGCAAGACCTGCAAAGGACAGAGGAGATGTCAGGACCTGGGGGCAGTTTCCAGCAGCACCTCAGGGATTCCAGACAGCTTCTCAGAAAGGGTTAAACAGGAAAAAACAACACAAAAACAAATATAGCCCAGATACAGGGCTAAATCCCATTTTCCTTTGGCACAGAAAATCCCACTGCCTTCTGCAGATCTACCACTACACGAGTACACCTCACTGCTTCACAGTGACCAAAGCAATGTTTCATAAGTGTATTTGTGGTCAGAATATACTGCTACAGGCTCATCCTGACCCCGGGCAAGCAGGAAAAAGGAGTAGGTGGCTTGAGACCAGAGGCAAGGGTACAAGTGGTGCAGTGACATCCCTGCAAGTCCTCCTCAATAACCCATCAAATGAAGATCTCTACACACTCACTCTCTCAGGCTTGACTGCCCACGTCTCGGCAAGTTTAACAAACTGGTTGACATGGCCTCAGTTCAAGTTTACCTATTCAGAGCTGAAAGACACCTCGAGTTCAGATAAGGACCCAGGTTAAATCAGCTGCATTTCTGTATTATATAGTATTTATTTATGCTTTGCCCTGCTCCACACAAATATCACTGTGCACAAGCATGAGAGAGGCACAAAAGAAACACAAACAGCAGGAGAGACCGAAGGAAACAACAGCACTTTCTGTGAGCAAACAGGACTCCCAGGGCTGGCAGCAGGCACTATCAGATTAAACAAAACAGCCAGAATAAGTAAAGCTGGAGGAGGTGCTGAAATACAAATCCACTTACCTTGAAGGTCTCTCTCTCTTTTTTGGTCTTTTCATTGTACCAAGGCTCATCATTAAATGGATTACTCTGCCAGACGTATTTCAGAGTCGTGCACACAGTGGCCTTGCCCAACAAGATGCACAAATACACTATCAAGAAAGCGTTGATAGATCTGAAAAACAGGTTTCTTTTTTTAAATTCTTGCAGCTATTTTGATACAGAAAAACATGTAAATAGGCAGGAACAAGACCTCCTTACTTTTAAGAAGGGAATTACAGAACAAGTGTTTTTGACACTGCTGATAGTCAGGGTCAGGTTCATATATGTTAACATTTCTTGATTTTGTTTTTAAATTAAAAAAAAAAAAATTAAAAATTATCCTTGCAAGATATGCTTTCTCAAATACCCAGATTTTTCCATGCAATCAGAGAGCATCTGAAACAAAAGGCAGTGGATTAGGGGATTACTTCTGTACAAGACTTCCATCAAAAACAAACCCAAACCGAACAGGTTTTACTGATATTTTTCTGAACATAAATACTCACTTTTCTACTGCAGACCGTTTCTGAGATTTCCCTTGGTAGTTGAGAGCCATTTTTGTTTCCATTCCAGTATAGACTGCAACTCCTGCTGGGTATTAAAGCAGGGCTCATAAGGGACTGGCAGCCCCAGAGGGACCCAGCTGGCACTCAGCCATCAGGGGCATCGGTGTTTACATCAAACCCCAATCCCAGCTGAAGGAAGAGCCATTACCCAGGGACTGTTCAACCACACAAACTCTGAGGCTGCTAAGAAATGTCCCTGCTGTGTCCCAGAGCCCACGGATCAGGGACAGTCAGGAGAAGCATCATTCTCCCATCACAGCCATCACCAGCGGTGTCTGAGTCTGTGCCCCCAGCACAGCACCTGGGCACAGCTCCTTGCCCATCGTGGCTCAGGCAAGAACAGCTTGCTCTGGTGTTTTAACAGAGCTGGGCAGCCCTGCAGATAGGGGCAGTGACTCCCAATTTCACCCTGGCCACTTTGCAACCAGCTCGTGTGAAAGCCACAGCTGTACAGCCCAGCTAGGCAGGCTGCAGAGAAATTTGTTCCCTCTCCAGATTTAGTAGTGAACATCTACATTTGTCATTACTTATCAGAACTATTTGAATAAACAAACAAAAATAACTTCACCATAAATCTTCTTGGTGTTTTTGAGGGTAGCACCTTTCAACAACAGGTTTTCAGGACCCAAAGACCTAAACATAAAAGAAATGATAACATTACATCACTTGAAGAACATTCAAACTACTTTATAAAATCAGAAATAGGATATAAACTAAGGTTCCTTACGTCTGGTTACAGGATTTGTATGTTAAATTGGGGCCTTGCTTGAATTTGTTTCTCTTTATATAATTACATTTCCATTTCACCTTACAAATACAATTTCCAATGCAAAGCTCCACTCTTATTGGGGGATTTTCATTAAGGCTTTTGAGAAATAACTGCAAAATGTTCAGATCCAGTATGTTCCAGTACTTTTATAAAAATGCAGTGTTAAAATCATCCTGTCCATTCCAGCCCAGTCAATCAATGGCACCATCAAAGCTGACAGTCCCACTTGTGTTTTTATTTCTCTTTGAAAGCCTGAGTGACCCTCTGTTGTTTCCAGAGCATGAACAGACCCACCAGAGCACAAAACCCATCCAACGTGCTCTGGTGACAGACAGCTGTTTTGGATGGCTTATGAACATTATTTGCTCTTTTTTTCTGTGAAACACTCTGATGTTTGAGTTTTTTCTTATCTTCCAATGACAATATTTTGTCATTGCCTGGTAAATTTGTGTTGCATCAGCAGGGCAGGACACTCCCAGGTGGTCCTGCACTGCTTCCCCAAAAGGGGCTCAAACAAACCACAGGATGGCAGAAGGGAGGCCTCCTTTTAGAATGAAATCTTAGGAATGGTTAAAGAAAAAAAAATATTCCCAAACGATGGCAGGAAAAACTCAAATCCTTGAAACTCTCTGTAGATGCCCAAGCCCTCTGAGGAGGGCCAACAGACAGCTGCAAGACCAACCTGGCTACAGGCTCTTGGTTACTTCTGTAGATGATAATTCTTCCAACAAATCTGTCATAAAAATATGAGAAACTTGTATTACAAACACATTATAGATAATCAAAGTAATTAACAGGAAATGGAAGCAAATACAGAAAGAAGTGAATGTGAGAGTTGAATGTTTCAGAGGGGTGGCTGTGCTCAGGACAGGGAGAAGTCACACACTGCCCAGGCTCAGGAGTGCTCACACACCCCAGCACAGCCCCATTACAGACTGAAACACACCCCAGAAAACCTCCCTCAAGGATTTCCCACACACATCACTCACTCCTGGAAGTCATTCAGCCCAATGCATTTTGCTGGGAAGGTAGAGTGGCCTAAGAATAGCTACATGGACCATTACTATTGCTGAGCTGACAAAAACCAGCTCATTATACCACACAAAATCTTGCACAAGGGAGGCCTTTCTGCAAAGACACTGAGCTTTGAAGACTTTGCCATCCTCGTGCAGAGGAGGCCCAGTGGCCTCGCACTGCCCCGACACACCTTTGGGTCTCTGATGGAAGGAAGATGGCCCCAGGTGATGGTGCTGAGGGGTGTGCAGGGGGTGACACCAGGCAGGGCAGGGTGCAGGAGGGACACACTCACTTGTAGAGGTCAGGCTGTGGCTGCTCACACTCGATTGTGGCGGTGAGGGTGTCGATGGCTTCGTCAGTGCAGAGCACGGTGGTGTCGCGCACCGCGTAGTGAGTCTGGGCACAGGAGCACAGCAACGTCACCACGAGCCCCAGCAGCAATCCCACCCCCCAGTTCCACACCCCATCCCTTAAAATGCCCCCGTGCACAAGGCTGCCAGCACCAGCAGATCTCCCAAGCCCTCACCACGCTCCCACAAGGCGGCTGAAGCGTCCCTCAGCAGAGAATGAAGTCACCGACGCTTGAGAGAAACCACAGCAGCAAGCAGCTGCTCTCAGGCATCCACCAAGAGCAGAGCATCCTTGGCTTTGCCCTGGTCGGGTGGAGGGGAGGCTGCAGGTGAGGAAGGGGCTCCTGGGGACCAGCTGCCCTGGCTCCTGATGGTACCCAGACCCCAGCACCAGGGATCGGGTGGAGCACTGACAGACTCCCAGCTATTTTTAGCAGCTGCTGCTGCAAAGGTTCATCTCTCATAATTAACTGAAAAGCCCACAAAGGATCTGCTCGCTGCCTTTCAGGCTCTATTTATAGGAGCTACTCAGAGCTCCAAGTCACGGCGGGCTGCACGGCAGGCTGCCTCAATCCATCTTCATAAACAAATTCATTAAAACGCTTCCTCCGCTCCTGAGGCGCGCGTCCCCTTCCCTGCGCGTCCCGGGAGGCACGGCCACGTTACACACGCTGTAGTCACGGCATTAGAAATCCCCACCTTTGTGCTGCTTTGCTAACCTGCCTGCCTTTTCCAACTGAAAATGCCTGAGCACACGTGGAGCCCTGGAATAGATCACAGCTTTTGTGAAGCACAGGTCAAAGCTGCTCCTGCAGCGCCCAGCTCCAAAGCCAGCCCTTGTGTGGGGTTCTGTAATGCTCCCATCAGCAGAGACATCCTGCAATTGCTGAGTGATACTTCAAAGCCACCTCCCAATCAATTCCACGATCTTCACATCCTTCAGTGCGTTTAGAAAACACAAGTTCTTTTAGCTAACGTATGGCCAAAGATTTGTGCTTCAAAGAGCCCTGACAAAGTCTCTTTCACAATACTATTCCAGTTACACTTAATCAGGCACCTCTCCCGTACCTGCATCTGACATGCCCCAAATAGCAGCAAAATCCCCACCAGGAAGGCAGCAGATACCCCTGCAGATGAGGTTTGGTGATTACCCAAGTGTGCTCCCCTCAACCCCCCTTTTGCAGCAAACCCTGGTTCCTAATGTCCAATCTATTTCCCCAAACAGAGCTGGCTTTTCTATTCTCTCTTCCCCTTCAAGCTCATCTTCACCTCATCATGAAACAGGAGGCAGCTCCCAGTCACCTACAGGAATCCACAAACCAAGAAAAAAACACCACAGTGCTTGATATAGAAACTCAGCATTGCATCTCCACACTCACAAGTGAGAGCCAAGACTCTGCCAAAGTGATGTGAACTCATGCATATAATACACCTGACACAAATAAGCAATAGCCTTTTAACATGGCTAGTTATTTTTAGCCTCAAGCCACTTCAAAGCTCCAGCTCCTCCTCACCAGTGGAGCCAGTGCTGTGCCACCAGCTCCCACACAGGTTATCCAGCACCAATTAACAGCCACCCAGAGGGAAGAGCCACAAATCCCAGATAAACACACCAGATCCACACACAGTGGTATTCCCACTGACTTCAGAGTATGCTGGAATGAATCATGTCATTTTAAAGTATCTCCCAGTCCTACTACTGCAGCTGCTAGTATCTATATAAATATTTATCAAACTCAAGTGCAACCAAATGTTCGTGTCTTCTGACGTATATCAGTTCTTGTTGCTTCTTTCCCCAGTTTAGAGGAGGGGAGGTAGAGAAAGAAAGAAAATAGACTGAAGAGATTCATCCTGAGCAAGACCAGTGTTAAGTTTCACTGCTCACTTCAGGGAAAGGGAGAGAAGATCCCAGAAGTGATGTTTTTCTCACGCTGGTGAAAAACTCCCCAAATGAATATAGACACGCTGCCTCAAAGAAGTCCCTAATCTCACTGGAAATGCTTGGTTAAGTAACAGGAGTGCTGGCAGGTCTGGAAAGGAGCTGGAGAGCTGCAGGCACTGCTGCCCTGCAGCACCAGAGCTCACAGTGGGGCTGGAGCAGGGAAGCACTAACACAGCCAAGCCATATCGATAAATGACAATCCAATTTGGGGCAGCGCCAGCAGGAATGGCCTTTGGAGACAAAACAGAGCACAGACAATCCCCCAGGGCTTCACTGCTGACACACTGGAAGCAGACAGGAGGCAGGAGCTGTTCAAGAGGCACACAGCTGTGGGGATGGGCTCCATGGCAGCAGCCTCCAGCCAAGCACAGCGCCCACCCTGCAGGCAGGGCCATCCCCAGGCAGCAGCTCCACACGCTGCCCCTCACCTTGAAATTGGACTCGCCATCAAGGCTCGCTGTAGTCACATAACAGGTCCCATCAGTGCTGCTGGAGGCCAAAAATATCAAGTCACAGGGGAAGGTCTCATCTGCTTTCACTTCTACTATGTCTCCAACCTAGGGGAAAGGAAACATTCACATGACAAGTCCTCTCAGCCGTTATTACATTATTATGATTTAGCCTCTCTCAAAGCCTAAATCACCTTGGCTAAAAGGGAAACCAGGGTGTGAGAGGTGCACTGAGCATCCCTCACAGCCTGCTGGGGCCACCAGCCCCACACTGACTCACAGCACCCACGTGGCACAGCCAGCATTTATTTCTCCGCTAAATCTTGATGGAGCAGGAGACTGCACTTGCCTCAAGTGCGGTGTGATAAATCAACATCAAAGCTAAATGTACCTTCCTGGTGTCCTTGGGAGAGCTGGAAACAGAAGAGGACTGCCTGTCCTGGAGAAGTGCAAAATGCTGACAGATCTGTCACTTGTCAGCCCGGGTACAGCTTTTGTGAGACAGCTTTTCAAAAGCAATCAAAGGCAGCTTCACTCCTTAGCTGGGAACAGCTCTGGGAGCATCTCATCTGAAAGTGAGCAGGCTGGGGCAGCTCTAACTCAGTACACCCCTCCTTCCCTGCCCTGTCCCCTCAGCACTCTGTTCCCATCAGCCTCAGTGAGGCACACATGCAAGGTCTCAGTTAACACTTACCTTGATTTTTTCACTCTCTTTCCGCACTTGCTTTGCATTTTCCACAACAAAGACGTTGCTTTTGTTCACTTCGTTGTCAGCTCTGTGCCTCAACCAGTCCTCGTAGCCCTAAGGCACAGACACAGGCAACATAAACTTGTAACAAAGTGAGTAAAATAATGAAAAAGGAGAGAGGATGAGAGGGACAAATTAAAACAATGAATAAGGCAACCGCCCTTAGACCTCCTTCATGCCTGACAAAACATCAACCAGAGTAGCTCAGACTGAATCGATTTATTTTAAAAACTTCGTATGCATATTTGACAGATTCAGAACAGATTAAAATAACACAAAAATAATCTACAAGTGGGGCATGCAACGAGCAGCTAAACTACTGTAACATATTTCTATTATTCTTAGCTTTGGTAAGAACAGACTGATAATATGAATAATACACTCAGCAGCCTGCATCTCTTTCCTATGGTAACGCAGGATGAGACTCTTCCTCTTCAGTCTTTACTGGAAGAATAAAACAGTGAGATCTGAAGCAGAGAGATTTTATTCTAGCTCTCCCTTTCCAGCCCCCGTAGAAGAAACTTGTTTTTTTATTATTCAGTCAGGAAATTTTAAATGGCATGTGTGCCTGTGATGGGAGGCAAAAGGTCTTTTAACACTGCAAGATGAGGACTACACGTTTTCAGGACTAGCTGAGTGGCTGAACAGAACCTGTCCTTTCCACCTACCAACATGGGAGCAGAGCGTGGGCTGCATTTGGAACACGTCTCTGCAAGGACTCAGAGTGTTTCTAAGAGGAAAAACATTCAAGTACCACCAGACCTACAGCAGAAAGCTTTGCTGACCCTCAGGGCCTGCTTTCAGCAGCACAGGGATGCTTTACACTGCTGGAGCAGGAGACACCCACACTCAAAATGCAAATCTCCTGAAAAGCACCAGTGCCCATCTCACCCTCTAAGAAGGGTGCACCAAACCTCCCAGCACATGTTGGTGGCTTCTGAGTCTATTTAAATCCATTTCTCTACCTGTCTCAATGAGCATCTTCTCCTCCCCACAGACACCTGTACCTGTTTGATAGCTGTGACAGTGATGACAAAGAAGAGCGGGAGGCCACTGGTCACGGGGCTGGTTGGGGTGTCCACTATCACCTGCAGAGAGAAAAACACTGCTGAGCCCTGGGCTAGGCACCAGAAGAAACCAAAACTTTGCTTATGAAGAGAAAAGGGTGCTCATCCCACTGAGGGCAGGTCAGAGCCTAGCAGAGGAGAAAAGGAAGCGAGGGCTGGTTATGAAAGGGAGGGCAGTACCAGTCATCTTGAACCACTGACACTGGGAGGCTAAAAATAACACCCATCAGCCCAAATTGCCTACAAAATATACTGCAGAACAGAACATGAATATTTAAGTAAAACAGAAACGCAGGCTTTGTCTTTAAGCTCTCAGATTTGGAGCTTGGAGTGTGATGTAGCACTGTGGCTGCACAGGGGCCCTGGGCAGAGAGCTGGATCCTCCCTGAGCTCAGCCCAGTGCTCCAGGCAGCACCAGGGAAACAACCAAGGCCCTGGATCACTAATTAAACCTTCAGGCTGTGGGAAACCACTGCTCCTTCTGACTGTACCAGGCCCTGAAAGGGTAAGAATGGCAGGACAGGTCCATAAGTGGGAGGGAGCCCTTTCCACCTTCCGAGCCAATGCTCCACAAACTGCTCATTTTCCCTGCTGTTCCTGGAGAGACTGGGAGCACGAGAGGCAGATGATGAGGGCTCTGATGAAAGGGGAAACTCAGCAGAAAGGCTTTGTGTCCCCACAAAGGGACTTTGTCTCTTGTTTGTGCTTCCCCAGCACGCTGACAAACAGCAGCATTTGGATATTTATTGTTTCAGGCTGCCTGTAAAAAGCTGTGTTAAGGACAGGGCTCCTCCTACCAGCTCCACAGACATTTTTGCCCGTGAAATGCTGTACACTGCAATATTACCCTGCACTACTGAACCCAGAGAGAAAAGCCAAAAGATTCTGAAGTGGAAGAGATACACCACAAGAAGAAGCCAGATAAATAGCAGATGAGTTAAGTAGCAGGAGGGTAAGCCAAGATAAACACCAAAAATATTTCCAGGTACATGAAAGCCTGGATCACTCAAAAGGGTGTAAACTGCTTCCAAGAAGAAAGTCTGGAAGAAAGCACACTTTGGAGGAACAGCCTCAAGTGAGGGTAGTGCCAAGTGTCACACAGACACTGCACACAGCACATGGGATGGCCACTCACAGGGCACTGTCATAGGCCAGGAAGCCAAAAGTTATCTTACAAAAATTGGACAGGTCTTGGCAATCCAAGAAGAACCTGGGCTTTCTGCTGAGAAGGGCAAAGTAAAGCATCTCCTGCTGCCCAGCAGGAGTTTCCTGCACTGGACAAGATGGAGTTGTATGTATCTATGTAAAAAAACAATACAATGTCTGCCCACACAGATCCAGGATTACAGATATAGGAACACACTATCAGATGAAGTGCCTGGAATAGTTAATAAGTGTATTTGGAGTTTGGCTGCAAAAACCCTGTGGCTGAACTCTACTCTTCCCCTTTGTGGCTGGTGAAATGCTGAGGGACACATGAGCAACAAGCCAGGACACAGGCAGACCCCTCTGAAACTATTTCTGGACTGGTTTAGGACCTCGACAGCTGAATTTGAATCCACTTCGAAGTGACAAAGTCCTCCTGTTACTTAATAGCTCCTTCTTACGAGATTCCTTAGGACACTAAGGACCACACTCCAGAAGTTATCTCCACTTTCCTCCTCAAAGAGACTCTTTTCATTCCTGCTGCCTCCTGAAACAGCTGATTGCCACCAGCTCAGTCTGTCCACATACACACTCAGACTGTGCTCACTCCAGGCCAGCCCCTTCCAGCAGGAGATTCCCTGCAGGCTCCTGTGAGAGCTGCAACAGATGAACCAAAGAACTGCAGCCCTGTTTGTGCAGCGTGTTTTATGTTTAATGCACATTGTCTTAAAGAGCTGGATCTGGAGTCTCAGAGAAATAGATGTTTTGCTAAAGTGTTCCCCAACAGCCAGGGCAGATACAGCAGGCAATTCCTCCAGCACTGACACTTCACTCCTCATGCAGCAATCAGGTGGGACAGCCCCATTCATTTACAGAAATTTAAATATAAGCACAAACATATAAGATACAGGTGGCATTTTTCAAGGTGTAAGCCTTGGTATTACTTAAAATGAATGGAGTGGCCTGGAGTGCCTTTTTAGGGCAAGGGCCATCTCCAGAAGGACAAGCACCCAGGGGCAGGGCTGCTCCATCCAGCAGCCAGTGGATCCCTGCTGCCAGGCTGGCCTTGCTCACTTGGGTTTGTTTGCTCTCCAACTGATCATGAGGGCTGCTTCCCAGCTTTGAGATGCTCACAGAACACAGACAAGGAGGAACAGCCAGGCTCTTCTCTCACCTGCAGAGACCTGTGCCTAAAATGGGCACACAGCTAGACTGGAACCGGGTTTGTAATTATAATCAGGAATATTCCATGCTCTCCACGGCCAGAGGGTCAATAGATAAAATGTAATAGCACGTCACTAAGTGGCCAGCTACACAAAAAGGACATCCTGACTCCAGGGTATCGCTTCAGCTCAAGGCAAATTACAAATTGGGGTTGACAGAATGGAGCAACGCCAGTGAAATGAAGAGATGGAGGCAAGCCAGCCAGAGTAAATTGGCCTTTCATGTCACACTGCCAGGAGGAGCCATGGCCTGGGATCCCTGCTCCTGCAGCAGCCACAGGACTGGAAATCAGAACCCTTCCCTGCACAGCTAAACACTGCAGGCACTCATGGCTTAAACAGGAGCCCAGGAGAGAGTGATAGCCCAGCTCTGAGCAGCAGAACCCCAGCAGCCTCAGCACGCCTTTGCCTTTGCTCTGGGGCCTGTTTCCAGCCCAGAACTGGCTGTGTGCTCAGCCCCAGGCCTGGGGATTTAAAAGGTGAGCAAAGGCACTGCAGCCATTCTGCCAAACTCCCTTTGTCCCAGCACGTTCTGACAGCTTGCTTCTCTTGGATGACAGAACAGACAATGAGTATGCCTCAGGATTTGCTCCTGCACTCAAGCCACAAAGCAGAGCAGGAAAAGTTTCTGCCTGTAATAAATTTGCTGTTTTACCCATGAAGAGCAACTTCCTGAAGCTTCAGGTTTCCCAAACTCATCCTATGCATTTTCTGAATTTTACTGAGTACATCCTATCTCTCCTGCTTGCCTTGAAACTCATATCTGATACAAAAATATCATATCACTTGGAGAAATACAGAGCTATGAAACAAAAGAAGTAATGGTGACAAAAGAATAGATCTTAACTGTGTAGCATCAAGTGTATTTTCAGTGATTGAACGATCTTAACAGTTAGAAATAAGATGGTTTCTCAGTGTTTCAGCAGTCATTCAGACCCCATCTCAGACAGGCCCAGATATTTAAATTATTTTTATGCCTTGGATGGTGTGGCAGAATTCTAATGCAGCTTCCAAATCAAAAATTTCCAAACTTCTTATAAGCACAGACAGTTTTAAAGCTCAGTTCTTGTTTGAGCTGTGTTTAACATCAGTGCCTAAATAAAACTTGCTCTTAGCATCAAAGCTCTTACCTGTACGAGGAAGATGATGAGGAAGTAGAAGTTGGCAATTCTTCTAAACTGCTCAAAAAGGTTCTTGGGGAGGAAATTCCAGAGGGTGTACTGTGGGGAGAGAGGGGGATTCACAAACAGACCAAGGCACGTGGCTGATAGGGACATCATCACAGCATAACCCACAGTGGAGACATTTTTTTCCAAATTCCCAAAACCATCTTAGAGCTGCTTTTGTTAAAAAAAAAAAAAGGCAAAAGAAGAGCCATGCTCATACAAATTCAGTATTAGGTTGTGCTTCATTATAATTTTAAGAAGGCTGCTGAATAATTTACTCTGGAAAGTATGTGGAATTTAAGAACAACATGGAAAATAATGGGTCTAATATCTGTCTTTCAGTCTGTCTGGAATGAAAAAAAAAATAAGCAGTCAAGTCTCAAGACCAATGTCCATTTCATTATAAAAGAGACTGGTCAGGTCCCAGGCCTAGCAAATATAAAAGGGAAAAAAGAGCAAGGACATAACATTCAAAAATAAATCAAGGAAGAACTAAAATTAGTGCTAAAGCAAACCATTTGTCAGGGAGGGAACAGAGAGGGGAAGGTGTCCTCACTGAAGGCTCCCCCTGCGTGCCAGGGAAACGTCAATGGGAATGCTACACAAGTTAAACACCAACAGACGGAAAACTTCTCCCAAAAAAACCCCCAGGCATGCAAAAACAGATAAGATCCAAGATGTATAAAGAAAGAAAGAAAGGAGAGGGAAAAACCCCCTTGCAGCTCAATACAGCAAAACTGAAGTGTTAAAATAAGTGTATGCTGAGCATCACGAATCCCAAGCGCAGGGATACGTATCCAGCTGTGTTGACAATATGGAATGCCACTTGTTTGATATTTTACTCGAATTGGCTCCAAATCTTTTGAAATAGCTTCATGAATGTCATGGAAAAAAGCTAAGCAGAAGGCAGATGGGTGTCATCACAGTTTTGCACCATAAACAAAAGCTGCATTAATACCATATGAATGTTTCCCCCCCTTTCATCCAAAGGGATAAACAGAGCATGGTTATTTTTGTCCTATCTCAAGAAAGAAAAATCCCACAGAACCAAAAAAAAAAAATCATGTTTTTATGTCCCTTTATAAAATAATGGCCAGTCTCTTTTACAAATTTGAGATGCTGTTACCTCATGCTGCACTATAGACACCTACCCTGTCTTTTCTTCCCAAAGGGGATGCAAGAAAATTTAAAAAAACAGACCAAACCCCCCCCAAACCTACAAAATCAACATGTCCATGTGCTTTGCTCTCATCCAGCCTACAGGAAAGGAACTTCTCCACACCCCCACTGGCACTGGTAGGATGAATAACCAAATGCTGAGAGACTGGAGCCGTGTGTAAGGGCTGTACCAGGCTGCTCTGCTTGCAGGGGAATCTTTGCATTCATCCTCCAGGAACTCGGGCTCTGGGCTTCCAAGCCCAGTGCCAAACAGCAGCAGGTGAGAACAGGAGCAGAACCAGGGGGAGCTCACCTTGGAGGAGACGATCCTGTTGTCGCAGAACTTCTGTGCCACGCACGCCTCGGTGTCCGACACGGGCCGGTGCCCGACCACCACGGTGCGTGTCCCCACCCGCTTCTCCTCCCCAGCACACTGTCAGGGCAGGCAGGAGAAGGAAAAAACAGCATTTAGCTCAAGAATTCAGATATTTGTATTCATGGCTTCCAGCTTCTCAGTGCACCGTGCTGTTTGTTGGAAATAAGGCAGCTGGAGCTCAAAAATTCACCTGTCTGCCCCAGCCAAAGCACAGAGAGTGAAGAGGAACATGTAAGGTCACTGGGCAGAATCAAGGACGTGCTGAGCCTGAGGCACACCTCTGCTCAGCCATGGTAACCCCACCAGGACAGGTCACTGCACCCCTGCCTGTGCAGGACAGCTGCAGACTGTGCCAGCTTATTCTTCCCTCTTGAGGGAGAAGATGTCTTTATCAAGCGCTTGAAGTCATTAGGAATATAATTTAGCATCTTTGCATCTCTTCCTAGTCCTGACCTGGAGAATGCTTCAGCTCTGGGTTTATTCATTGCATGGAGGACGATGGCAGCTCCCTCACACTCATTCTGTCCAAGCCTCCAGCCCACGCAAAATGGCTCACCAGCACACTGGCACACACAGATTTAGTACTCAGCTCAAAAAACCAACCAGGTCTGCTTCTGCTATTTAAAAATCTCAGCTAAAATCACGAATCGTGAAGCAGACAGCTTCACATCACAAACTCCTCAAGATGACACACAGGGTTGCTGGGAAGCCAGCTGGGCTTGCTGGGGGTTTAATTTAAAGCAGAAAGAGATGTCACAAGTGAATGTCAGCCTCATGTCATGGGGGCTTGATGACAGCCCCAGTGCTCGGCAGCAGGATGAGGGAATTGCAGCGGAGTAACCTCAGCAGGGAAGCAGGGCTGCTCTGCCCAACAGCAGCCCTTGCACAAAGCCACCTGTGAGACACTTGTGATCAGCAACACGGGGCTCTAGCACAGCCCCAGCCTCCCCACAGCCCCTCCAGGCCACACACGGGAGGAGACAGCACCCCCCAAACAGACAGAGCCTCCCCATCCAGAGGAGAGATGTTAAATGTAAACGCAGTACCTAAACGCACCAAAAGCACCAGGCCTTGTCTAGCTCAGTGTAACTCTTAAACATCACATTTCCAACTCCCTGAAGCTTCTTTTAAAGCCTTTCCCAAGCGGTGAGGAAGCTGAGGCCAGGCAGGTCCCTGCAGCCCACTGGAAGCTCTCAGTGGTTGAGGCAGCACTGTGAGCTCCATCTCCCTCAGCCTCCAGCTCTGGCCAGCCCAGCACACAAGTTTCTCAGAAAACTTTATTTTCAAAAACAACAGAACTGTGCAATAGTTCAAAAATCAGCTTTTCATTCCGTCCAGGTTCCTCCTTTCATACAACGAAGTGTCCTTGCCACAGATGCTCATGGCCAAGGGAGAAGACCTGGCTGGCAGCAGGAAGTATTTTGTGATGCTAAACTTAAAATTGCACAGTGAATTTAAAGTGTCCACTAAGAGCAAATCGGGGAAGATGGGTGAGGGGGAAAAGAGTGGTGTTAGACCAGGGAAAGATTTCCTTAGAGTTCAGGTTTTGAATTTTAAGACATGAATAGGGAAGACATTTGTCACAGCCTATGGTTCAAGGGCATTAGCAGGCAGCAGGGCTGCTAAAACACCAGCAGATACTCTTCATACCCCACTGAACCAGGCTAATCCTCAACCCTACAGCTTGCTTGCTTTGAAAGCTCACCACAGCAGGTGCCACAAACACCAAATCCCTGTCCCATGTCAGCTGCACGGGCTCAGCCTGCTGCAGGTGAATGCTCTGGGAGTGCCCTGCATCAGCATCCCCTTGTCCAAAGGGCTCATGGCAGGCAGCTTGTCAAGGTACAAACAAAACCCAGCTAGAGAAAAGGTGCTCTGAAGAAAAACATGCTGTCACAAAGCCTGGAACTAACTGCTCAAGGGGAAAGTGTCAAAACCAAAAAGTTAAACAGTTAAAACTGGTGGACCCAGAGCAGCAGCAACTGAATGGATCCTGTTGCCCAAGGATCTGCCCAAAGGAAGTGGCAGCTCTTCCCTTCCTCTGTTTCCCACCTACATCTGCAGCACCTTTAATTAAAGAAGTGTTTTTACACTGTTGCCCGATCCGAAGAAAACACAAACAACCGAAGTCGTTTATGCGGTGCTTTATTGAGGGCCCGGGAGCCTGTGGACTAGCGTCCAAAGACAGAGCCCCATTTCACAGAAAAATCACAGGGTTTTTATGTTTTCTACACGATTTCTTCATCATCACAATTTCTTACTTCTCTTTCACTACCTGGTACGATTATCTCTCTGACATTTAAGTTTTGCCAAAAGGTACATTCCTAGATTATCTCCTAGTTACACTGCTTACATTGCAATATCTGCTATATAGTTCATCTGCAGGTTACATGTGGCCTACCAAGCCTTAGCATAACTACTACTAATGTCAACTAATGCTAACCATTAACGTTTGTTACTATCTTAATAATACAGTTTATTGAACCAAATGGCAACAACACTATGCCTACACTTGGGGAGGTGCTGACCATCCTCACAGCTCCAGTGCTGAGGCTCGGAGCAGGAGGATTCATGTCCTACACTACATCCTGCACCTCCCGACAGGCAGCAGCCACCAGCACCCCCAGCACTGAGCACCCCAAAGCTGGGCGGGGCTGGCACACACCCCCAGCCGTGAGCACCCCAAAGCTGGGCGGGGCTGGCACACACCCCCAGCCGTGAGCACCCCAAAGCTGGGCGGGGCTGGCACACACCCCCAGCACTGAGCACCCCAAAGCTGGGCAGGGCTAGCACACACCCCCAGCAGTGAGCACCCCAAAGCTGGGCAGGGCTGGCACACACCCCCAGCACTGAGCACCCCAAAGCTGGGCAGGGCTGGCACACATCCCCAGCAGTGAGCACCCCAAAGCTGGGCAGGGCTGGCACACACCCCCAGCACTGAGCACCCCAAAGCTGGGCAGGGCTGGCACACACCCCCAGCACTGAGCACCCCAAAGCTGGGCAGGGCTGGCACACACCCCCAGCCAGGGAATGCCACCATCCTCCCAGCCACAGCACCACCGCTGCAGTGGCAAACAGCGCCTCTTGCAAAGTACAAACCGCAGCCAGAGGAGGGTCCCTGACGTACCTGCTGCATCGTGGAGGTGCCAGCCACGGTGTCACCAAGCTGTGCCCCGGGAGCAGGAGGCAGTGCCAGCAGCTGGGACATGTCCCCACGGCTGGTCCCTGCCATGCCCTGCCCAGGCTCTGGAGCCAGCAGTGCCTGGGGAGCAGCTCCAGCCCAGGGAGGAAGCGACAGCCTCCCCTGCCATGCGCTGGGAAGGAGCAGGGTGAGGGCTTGCCACTCACACACACTGGCATGGAAACCACCGAGTTCTGCTTAAAGCACTTCTGGAAAAGTATACACAAGGATTTCCTGAGTGTCCACAGACAGCACGGTGTGTGTGAAGCCTCAGAGCAGAGGAGAAGCCAAACCCAGGTGCACCGGCTCCTAGGAGGGTTCACATCTCCCAGCCCCTTTGATTACCTGCAGCATCACCCACACAGGTGAGTGATGCCAGGGCAGCAGTGACACTGTAACCCACCGTGCACCCCTCCACAGTCTCACAGGCTCCCACCACTCACAGCACTTCCCTTGCCATTGCCTCAATTCCCACGGCATCACACCTTCCCACAGCCACACCAGAAGCTGCAAGGCTTCACTCCACATCTCTCTTCTCCACCCCCCAGAAGCCAGCACACACCACACGCCTGCAGCAGGAGGTGTTGGCTGAACTCAGCAATTAAAAGCTCTCACTTTGACGAGCCCAGCCCGGGCCCTGGCCGGGTCGTTAATAGATTGCTACGTCTTAATAACAGCTCTCAACAGAGACTTAGAGGCAGATTTAGGGAATAACTGCCAGGCTTTTGGGAAAATTATAAAATATGCAGATTAGCAGGGAGAGGATTTAGATGACTTTTTCCAACTGCCTTTCATGAAAAAATTTAATTCTGATGGCAAAAAAATAAAAGAAAATATTACTTGGATGCAATTCAAGCAGCTGCCTCGTTGGGTTCTGTAAAGCCTGCAGTCCACAGTGCTGGAGTGAGCTGGTACAGGCAAAAGCCAGAGTTTCTCCTGCTGTTTAAAGCCAAGCCTGCTACAAGGATTATTCAAGAAAATAAACAATTGCATTCCCCTCACAGGCACTTTCTCACCTCCCTGGGCCGGAGGTGTTTGTGTGAGCACTGGGAGAGGCAGAGCTGTCTGCAGGGACCAGCAGAGTCAGACTGGGCACAGCGTGGGGACGGTGCCAGGGAAGCCACACTGCATGGCCCCACCAAGCCTGGAGGATCTGGGGATGCTGGCAGGTGACACAGACCCAGCTGCTCTCCCGTGTCCCTGCAAGCCAGAAGAGCTCCCAGCAGCTGGCAGACACACAGCAGCACCAGGGAGACACTGCAGACACCAGGAACTGAGAAGGGATGGAGCACAGCCACTATCCTGCCTGCATCTGCTGAGGACCAGCCCAGGGATGCAGTGTTTCAAGCTTCAGTCCAGAGCTCCCGTTCACTCCCCCAGTGCCTAACCAAGCCCATCAGCAGGGCATCCGAGGCAGATCTCTCCTGAAGCAGCTCAGCTGGAAGACAGCAGCCAGAGAGTCAGACAGAAATCACGGGAGATAAAGAGGAGGAAAGCGAGGCTGTTCTGCCAGGAGCATCCCTCGGGCTGGCAGCTGGCTGCCCGTCCTGCCTTTGCCCACGCCTGGCAGGGCAAAGGGCTGCTGCTGCTGCAGCACCTTCTCGTGCCAGGGAGAAGCTCACACATGAATGTGTTCTGTCAAATGCTTTGATGCAACCCAGCCTTCCCATGCTTGCACCTCTTATAAAGCCCACGTACTGCCAGAAGCAGCAGTTCTGAAATCAAGGCATTGACGGGGATAATGGATATTTTTTTGCATTCTGAAAAAGCCCAACTACACACCCATGGTCACCTGAGGCTCAGAGTTTCACTATTAATTTTTCTTTGAGGAGGTAAGAATGGGTATGATTTGAAGGCATCAGGCCAGGAGTAAAAATGCCCATGGATGCAATTAATAACCCAACATATTGATGACTTGAAGCTGTGGGAGCATTACATAGAGATGGCAGAATTACATCTGCAGCCCACAGCAGTCCCCAAATTCTCTGCCTGAGTTCAGGCAACTGCCCCCCCGTGCCTCTTCACCCTTCTCCCACAGAAATGTCCCTGTGGAGCACAACTGCTCCCACCCTCCCCACTGCCTGGGAACCCACCACAGCACCCACATGGCACTGGATAAACTGCAAACCTGGGTAACAATTAGCAAGCCTGGGTAAAAATTAATGGAGTTAGACTGAGTTCAACAGGAGAGGTGAACCTGTGCTCTGCAGTCACCGCTGACAAGGAGCCACTTCAAGAGGAATATTTCTAGGGCAGCTGCAAACAGAGTTTAATTATATCTCCCATATGGAAAGCAAATGTCTGTGCTACCTTCTGGCCCTGTTTCCAGAAAAAAAAAAAACAGTGGCAGAAGAAAAACTAAAAAACCACCACCATTTGATTTACTACAGTTCCAGAAAGCACCAAAACCAGAACTAACTAGTAAAAAAACATTTCCTTTCATGTTTGCTGAAGATAACTTTAAGCCACAAAGTAAACACAAATACCTCATAGAAAACAGATCTAATAAAAACCACAGGCATTTGAAAAAAAAAGTCATCTGCTAAACCCAGAGGTTATACAGTGCAAGTACAAAGCTCAAACATTTGAATGAAATCACAGATTATATTAAATATATGCAAAAGAAAGATTAAATCACATTACTTGGCTTCAATCTCATGAGTACTTTAAAGTCTAATTGCTCCTGTATTGTTCCATTTATCATAAAAGTAGTAGAGAAGGCGACCTAATTTACAAAAAAAGCTTGCAAAAATAACAGCACCTCCCAAAACAGCCTGTTCTAGCTCCTGTTTCACTTAGCCTCAGAAGAACAAAGGAAAACACATCCACAATTTCAAAAAGCCTCCATAAATTTACCGTAACCTCCCCAAAACATCCATCAGCCTCGGGAAGTTGCTCAGCCCATCAGCCTCACTGCCCAACCGATATACTTTTAATTGAGATTTCTTCTTGCCAATTTCCCTATGGCTCTTTGTCCTTAGTCACTCCTTTGAGGGCACAAGCCATGCTTTGAGAACACCCTTCATAATTCAGCAGCTCCGATTGTGCTTACCCACACCGACCACATATTCAGGCAGATCTCCTGATTTAGAGAGAGAACTCCATCGATCAGGATCGACCCCACCACTGTCCCTGTGCCTGATGAAAGGGTCAGTAACATGCACAGACCTTGGAAAAAACAAACAGCCAGCATTGGATCTGCAATGCTGAGAGCTCATAGGTCCAAGAGGAAGGGCTGAAGGCGCACACTGCCCCATCTCATCTCCCACTGGACGGGACTTTGCTGCTCCCTCCTCAGCAGGATGGGAAGGCTGGCACCTTGGGAAAACACAAGGTTGAAATTTAAACCAGTATCCCTTCTCCTGTGCTGAGGCTGAAGCTGCCACTGATATTTCAGCCAGGGACAAAACATGAGCAGCAGGGAGTGACCGCTGGGTTAAGCCGGCTCCAGCCAAGGGGCAACCCCGAGAGCCCCCAGACCCAAAGAAAAGGCAAGAGCAAGGAGGGGTTTTACACCACAACCTGCACGTGATGGGGCTCAACACCCAGACCTCAGCCCTGGGGATGGTAAAGCAGCACGTGATGAGCTCTAGCATCACTGAACCAGACCACACCACCCTTAATGCAAGTGCAAGGACAGCCAAGCAAGGGGTGCCAGCCAGAGCCCAGCCCCATGTCCCCAAGACCTGCTGCCTCACCATATGGCCTGACAGGGAGATCACCTTCAGCAAGGACAGCGGGTAGGGAACAGCAGAGCCCAACCAGGCTGCATTTCCTGGAAAAACTGACTTGGCCAACAAAGCCACTGATAAAAGCAGAGAGAGACATGCCTGGGTGGAGAGAACAGGGGAAAAGGCTACTTGAAAGATTTCACAAGGGTGGAGAGAGGAAATACAAGAGTTTTTCCCCTAGATAATAAATTTAAAGGAGAGCCCAGCCCTATCCTGGACTTAAGGAGTGCCATGGACAGGGGTGACAGCTGAAAAAGACCTTTTTTTGGCACAGATTTTGTTTTTCCTTCTGAAGGCAATCTACCCTCAAACCAGGCAGTACTGCATCTTCCCAGCAAATGTGCCACCATGGCTGCAACCCCAGCTTCTGCTCAGCAGCACTTGGTCCAAAGCTGGGCACATGAGTGATGCAGAAAGCCAAGGCCAGACGGGATCCACTGGGACAGCACTACTTCAGTGCTGCTGTTCTGTGAAACTCTGCTGCTCCTGCTCAAGCACAACCACAGACCTTCACAAGTTTTCAGCATCTCAGTTCTTTTTTCCCCCTGCCCTGTTGGCAGCCAGGGTTATGAAACCATTGCTCATCTTGAAATGCAGGCAGCAGATCTTTATTTTTGGCAGTCCAAAAGAAAAGTTCGACCAGCATGCCACCAGCATATAAAACTCAGGCTCATAGGAACACTTCAGGCTGGAGAACAGAAAAAGGACTTTGAATAAGAGCCAAATGTTTTGCAGAGGTCACAAAGCAAATACAACGAGGTCTTCCTGTCTTCAAAACTCTTCCTCCCTCCTCTCCCTGGCTCAAGCTGTGCACATATGTCTGTTCGTCGGCAGCTATTTTAGCAGGGCAGCAAGCTCTCCAGAGCAGTGATTTGGCCTGGCAAAAATTAAAATAAGAGCAAAATGGAAAAAAACCTCCCAGTTTGCAATTGTCAGTGCTTGCATCACCCAGCAGAGCTATAATTTGTTGGTTTTCCCGTTGTTTTCTGGTCCTCTGAAAGCCTGAGCTCTTCAGTTATGGAAGCAAAAAACCCCTAAATGCTATGGTATGCATCCCAGCTCGGCCAGACATTACTCTAACCTCTGCCACCTACAAACATTTTGCCTCTTTTTAAGTTTTCCCAGCATTTCAGAGCCAGGCTGCCAGCTGACTGGCGAGAAGCCCATTTCCCAGAGCAGTTTCTTCCCTTTCCCCTGGGAAGCAAGCCTGCCTGGCTGTCCACACTGCAGGGGCAGAGGCTGCAGACTGCCCAGCCAGACCTCACCACTGCACCCCAGGAGCCAGGGCTGGCACCCAGGGCTGCCCACCCGCCAGGGAAGCTGTCCTAAATCCCAAAGAGCCAGCAGGAGGGAGGGGAGGGCAGGTCCAGCCTGCTGGGACTCCCCGAGTCCTGCACCAGCATCCCGGGGTGCCCTCAACCCCACAATGGGTACCCGAGGTCCCAGCACCTCCCCATGCTCCTCACCCGGGTCAGATCAACTTTTCCAACTCCAGAACCATAAAAAGCTGTGGTTTTCTTACAGACAAGTGTTTCCATAGAAGCACCAGGAGACAAAAGCTAGGAGTCACCTACTTCACCCCTTGCTCCACAGGACCCAGACCACACTGGGAACATCTTTGTCTCTGGGTACAATAATGACCAACAGATTCATCCTTGGGGCTTGCAGGCACAATCATACCAGGATATCAGTGAAATCCACCCAGTCAGGAGAGAAATCCTCACCATGTGGCCTAGAACTGTTTATCTCCAGGAAATCCTTTGGCTCCTGTTCCAGCCATGCTGGGGAAGGCAGCAGAGGCCGAGCGAGCCCCACACCGAGCGCTGCCCAGCACAGCAGCCAGGAAAGCTGCAAGGACACAGGAGCTGAGGTTTCACTGGCCCTGGCACATCAGGCCTGGAGCCTGGGGGTTTCTCTGTGGTGCACCCCAGCTGCAGAGCTGGAGAACAGGACAGCATCCCATCAGTCTCTTTCCCTAGCCAGGCACCAAGACAAGGGCATTCCTGCTCTCACCATTACCAACACAAGCTCCTTCACCCTAGGTCTCCTCTCTCTGCCTGCTCCCCACCCTGCACCTACTGCAATGGTACCTGGCCAGTGGGAAGTGCCACTTCCCTCCAGTGAACTGCCCTAGCAGAAACCAGCCCGTGGAAATTACCTGCTCCACAATATCAATTTGGCTGATACAGGACAACAGCCCTCTGGGCATCACAGCTCATTTTACTGCGCTCCCTCCCTGAGCAAACAATGTAAAAAATGGTGAGCTGTAAGGAAGGAGGAAAAAACAAAAAGAATAAAAACCTTCCACAGCTCAGACTGAACAGAAGTGGCATGCAAAACACCACCCAAAGCAAACAAAAAAAATGTATTAATACTGCATTTCAAGGCTGGCTTTGCAGCCTCCCCGAGTGCAGTCTGAGTCCCTACAGATAGCAGCTGCTTGGCTTTGTATGAATGCTGGGGAGGAATTACACAGAAATCATAATAAAAGATGGAAGGGCTGCTCACAAAAGTGGATTTTTTTTTTCCCCTGCATTTAATTTCCCGGCAGTGAGATTTATTTTTTTTTATTTTTTTCCCCTCTTAAGCCAATTGAGACTCCAGCAACAGAGCACAGCGTAGCTGCAGTCAAGCAGTATTTAATTTGTATTACTGCTGAAGAGATCTTGGATGGCAGTACCAAAGAAGCGCTTCAAATTGTCTGCTCTTGCCTGTTGCACATCTTACTCAGCTTTTCTAGGTCCTTTACAGTACAAGAAATAGAGGATCCCTCTGGTTTGCAAATCGGTGCCTTTGCCACAACAGTGCAAACAAATTACACTGACCGACTGAGCGATGTCTGTGTCCCACTTCAGTCATCTCACAGAATCTTGTTAGGGTGTACAGCACACTTTAAGACATGCCAGATGAAAAGATTCTTTGGAAACACACAGCAAGGAATTACCAAGCTCTCCATAAGCAAGGCTGGAGTCCATCACCTATAGATCCTGAAAATTCAGCTGAAAACAAGTGCAAAAAGCCTGCAGCAAAGCATTACTCAGCAAAGGCCACAATGGAGTTTAACAGGAATCCTGTTCAAGATGGCAAACAAAAAAAAAGCAGCCTGATTTAAGAGCAAAATATCCAGCTAGAACAGCCTGGAAGGGGCTCACCCCTCCTTCTGCTGCAGGAGGAAAACAAAAAGCTCTTTACAAACAACTGGATCATGCACTAAGCTTTCATTAAGGAGGGCAGGACAAATGTCTCTGAAGCGCTATCAATTAGGCTGGATGGCCAGAGGAGACAGGCTTTTAGACTAAATGGCCTTCAGCTGGAATTCCATCCCCAGCAACACAACCCAGGTTTGGGAAAAAAAGGCACTGGAGTCAGCAGGATGCAACAGGTGCCCACAGGAGTGGACAAAGTGCAAATCATGTGCAGAAGAGGTTGCATAAGGAGCTAAACATTTTAGAGCATTGGTTCTGATCAGCATCTGTTGCAGCGAGCACCCCCATGAGAGCACGGAAAATGATGGAGAGGACGAGAAGCAAAACCTAGGACTGCTCTGCTCCCACCAGGGAGCCTCAGCTCCTCTCCCACCCCACTGTCCCACGTGCAGCTCCCTACCAAATGCACTTTGCAACCATCAGAGCGGTGCCCTGTGCCAGTCACTGCCCAGCAGCTCCCTGGGCTTTGGCCAAGCCTGAGAAAGAGCCCATAACCAAAAATAAATATATATATTTTTAATGCATCTCTATATATTGCTTATATGCATATTTAATGTACATATATTGCATGCATGTATATTTAATGCATATATATCTATTGAAGTCACTGCAGCCTCTGGGCAAAACAGGCTTTTCCTGACCCAGCAGCCGTGCTGCTGCCAAGCAGGAGCCAGATGAGGGCAGGAGTCAGAGGAGACCTTTTAAAACAGGGAAGTTTCACTATTTCCCCAGGCTACAAGTTAGTAAATCAAGCTTTAAAGCAGTCTGCCACTCACTGCCATCCCCTGCAGCGCACGGGCAGCAGAGCATCGCCCTCCTCCCACAGGAGGGTTAAGGCACTCCAGGGAACAGCTCCATGCTCAAGTCTTGGAGTCAAGTTTACTGCAAAAAAGCAAAATCCTGACTGCCCAAATCAAACATTGCCAGTTCAGGCAAACCCAGGGAACGAGCCACTGGAGGCGTGCTGGATAATTCAAGGCAGTTCAGCCAACTGCAGCAGGGGCTGCTCCTGGGGCCAGCCTATGGAAAGGGTGCAGGGAGCCTCAGGGGAGCCAAAGCACACAAGATCATTGTACAATTATTTCAATAATAATACCAGAAATGGCTTACAACAATCAACAATGAGCAGCAGTGTCCCTGTCACCTATCTACAAGGATCAGCACACCCCTCGGACTGGCAGCGTGTCCCTGGGGCAGGACAGGGTCTGGGCAGAGCCCATTTC